AAAGATACGAACCTTGCCAACTGTATCAGCCATGGTGATGTTATATTTGGTGAAAATAAAGAATTATTGTAATTGTAATTGAATCTTTTAGTTCGGGAGAATCTGTAAGAAAAAGAAAAGTCCTTGAGCTATCAACTTTTATAATAGATTGCTTAGCTACTTCTTGGGTTGCTTGTTTGATGCGGAGTTTTCTTGCTCGAAGCCTCCTTGACCCCACCACTGGTTATTCTTCAGGTGGGGGAGTCGGCACGGCAGTGAGGAGAGAGTGAGACTAGGCCCCGAGATGAGATATGAGATAAAGGGAAATATACCTACCTAGGTTACCTGGGTAGATAGGTACATGAGATAAAAACTTTAGGTTAGGCTGTTAGGTTCCAGTTTACCTTGCATCTTGATGTCACTCCTGCGATCATCATGACTGCTAATACCATCAGATAGGTACATTAGATAGTATGATGGAGTCTATTAGATGTATCGCATTGTATCGCATTAATACCGACTTCTGACGCTGCACACCTGCATTCCCGACACATCCTTTTCCGATATGCTCCAACTCACTCCGCCTAGAGAGTATGCGATATCGTCAATCGGCATGTTAAGAAAACGGGAAACGGGGGAATTATGGACAAAACTCGGCATGTACATCATAGCCTTGGAGAAAGACGTTAGCTCGTTCTTGCACCATATCCTGGTGAAGATAAATGAGTCAATCGTTTTGGCATTTTTGGCATTTTTGGCATGTTGCTCGCCTATCTCATCAAAATGCACCAAGGTGTGCGGTGCATTGCTGTAATATCCGGTTGGTCATTGTATTGTATAGTTATGATAAGTCAGATATTGAATTAGGTATGGATATACGTAATAGTACCCTTTTCTAATCCTTTCTAGTTTGGAGTAGGTTAGCTTGTATGCTGTAAAATTCAACATCAACAAGGCTGATAGAATGTAGCACAGATGAAGATAAGAATCGGATGGCATGGAGAAGTGCCATTTATATCAATATTTTAGACGAGAACCCGGAGGACTATAATAAGTATTGATTGTACAGTAACAAATGGCTTACGCACTGTACGAATAGAGGGCATCCCATTCCTAAGAGGTAGGTACAAGGTACATATGTGTGGTCTGTGCTTAACAGCGGGCAGGGACAAGCTCCTGCTTGTGAAGTTTGTATGCGCTAAGCACCGCGTTCTTGAAGCTTCACAGCGTCGCGACGTAAATTTTTGTTTGGCTCACATTCTTTCATACCAGCTTTCGCAGCTCCGAGCAGCAACACTCAACCCCCTAACGATAAGGATTTTCAACTCAATTTACGACCTGATAGCGCTGATAGCCTCATGGGGTATCTTCGCTAGAGTTAATATTTGTTTATGGTGCTATTCTGAAGGCATTTCGAAGTAGCTGTTGAGCTTCACATCCGCCAAGATGGCGTTCCGATTTGCAGGTTTGAACTCATCGCCCTCTACGCCGGAAAGAGGCTCTCGAAAAACCTCGTCTGGCTTCGGGTTCTCTGCAGATCATCCATCAACGACTCCTATCGGCCCTCCACCTTCATCTACCGCATCCTTCACCCCTGCCGGCGAACCGTCTCCCTCGTTCTTACAGAGTTCCATTGGGGCTATGTCAGGCGCTTCAAGTACGTCAAGCAAGATCAAGACCCCAAATTTTGGAAGGCCAAACCCTTCCCAATCCAAGTCGCACTCAAGAAAACGTAGCAATGCGCCCCTTGGAAGATCAATTCAGGGCTCTACTTCGAGGCAGCCGTCTGGCCTGAGCAGAGAATATCACCGGGGAGGAGTGGAGGATGAGGATGAGGATGAGGATGATGAAGATGAAGAAGAAGAAGAAGAAGAAAACAAGCGAGGAAACGTAGGAGGGAGGACTTACGGCATGTTACTTGACGATTCGACTGAAGGCGAAGATACCGAGCCTGATAATACGGATCCCCTGGAGGATGATGAGGGTTCGGAAGCAGACGCTATGGAAGAAGAAGATGAATATGATGTGGAAGAGGAGCTGCTGAGGGAAATAGCCGGCAATGGGCCGTATGGCGATCTACTCTCCGATGGCGATGCGGACATGATGGTGCTCACAACAGCCGCTGCGGACGAACGTATCAGCAAGGAAGCTGAAGACATCTTTCGCGCTTCTTCCATGCGCTCTATCAACGCCCGAAAGCGGGAGTTAAAGTATGCGGCCCTTGCAAAGGATCTCTATAGCCAATCTCCATTTGCAGATGTGGCCGAACCGGACAACGTCATCATACAAACCGAAGAGCTCGTCAATCGTCTCTATGATGAAGGCGTGGGTCCTGAAGACGACGAGGAGAGACTGGACGATACCCTGGCTCAAGCCTGTGTTAGATTGGTTAATGAGATATGGGCCCCTCACGTAGAAGAGCTCCCCAAAGTTGACGATGAGCATGCGGCTAGGGTAGGGCCGAGTTCCTACGCCCCGAATTTTGAGAAAGCCTTCTACCTAGCTGTGTTGGTTCTTCAGATTCATCACACACCAGCAAGAAGGGACGATTTTGGGGATATCAAAAATATAGCCTTGCCCGCTGTGCTTTTCAACTGGCAACGTGCAGAACACAATTTCGACCCGGATCAAGTAAATAACGTCCTGCAACATCGCCCTTCACCCGCGGCCCATGGGCTTTTCTGGCAAGTCGTTTTTAATGCTCTCGTACGTGGTGACATATCTGGGGTGGTGCAACTTCTCAGAAAGGCTGGCTGGGAATCTCCTAAGAAATCCCCTCGCGGCGAAGCAGTCTATAGTGGCCAAGTCTTATCGAATATCAAACGTGTTGTCGAAGATCTATGCTTGGTTATGGAGATATGCCCTGCGATGAGTAATGACAGTTGGGACATTCATAGTAGTGACTGGACTTTGTTCCGTCTAAAGGCTAAAGCAGCTAAAGAAGCACTCGTTGGGTTTACTGAAGGCAAAGAACGAGCTCTTGCCTCGAGTCGATTTGGTGAATCCGACTTTGCCGATTCTGTGGATGGACGACAATCAATCTCAGGGCTTGCTCGAAGGGCAGAAAGCAGGATCCCTTGGGATATCTATGAAAATCTTCAGTCCCTTTATGCGATTCTCATCGGAGAACCGGACGCTATCCTTGCGGCCGCGGAAGACTGGTGCGAGGCTACGATTGGCTTATTCGGATGGTGGGATAATGGTCACAACAAGCGGAATCTTAGCCTATCCCATTCAAGATCACTTCAATTGCCTAGCCAATACGAGGCGGGTGATGATTTTCTTGATCGTCTTGCTCTTTCCCTTCAAACTGCTACTGAGGCCGATTTCCACTTCAATTCCGCCGACCCTGTCGAAGTAGCAGTTGCTTCTGCGTTTGAGAGCAACGTTGAAGGGGTTATCGGATTCTTGAGATTATGGTCACTCCCAATCGCGTCGACGGTAGCCGAAATTGCCTCGTTAGGCCGATGGCTCCCTCCTCAAGAGCCACAAAATCTTATTAACATGCAAGATTTTGACATGGAAGAATTGGAGGTTTTAGGAATGAATCAGAGCACAGGGTCCGACGAGAAAGACGGAATCAAAGATACCACTCTAATCCACTATGCCCGTAGCCTGAAAGATCGCAAGTATATAGCGGGCACTGGTCTGCATGGTAAGGTCTCGCGGGATGGATGGGAAATGGGAGTCCAGGTTGTTGGCCGAATGGACTCGCCCGAGCGGTCTGAGCAGTTAGTACAGGAATTGCTCCAGAGTGTTCTTAGTACCATCGACGAGTTTTCTCGTGAGACTGTCGACAAGATATGGCGGCTGCTGAACGAACTTGGAATGATCAACTTTGCAGAAGACACAGCTGAGGTATGCATACACCAATACATTAACGTCAACGTTATACTAACACACATTAGACTTTCGGAGATATCTTAGCAAAAGATACCTTCCGCTTTGGAGAAGCTCTATGGTATTACTCCTTGGCCCACCGGCCTGGCAAAGTTCGCGATGTCCTAAATACCCTCATGTCCATTTCACTGGTGGAATCTACAACGTATCCGCCGGAGGCTGAGCTGGACAGTACGCTGAAACAGCTACTAAAGGAGCGCACGACAACTTTAGAGAAATTTGCGAAGCAGGATCTCGAAGCGGCAGAGCTTCTCGGTAAGATGCTCAGCGGGTATGCCACGCTCAGGAAATTCTACGAGCTTCGTGATGGAGACGGCAAAACAAACCCCAAATCTTTAGTGCGTCGCCAACAAGCCGCCACTGCCCTGGTGGCTGTCATTGCTAGCGCTGATGACAACATTCGAGGAGGCTTGTACGATGACTCGCGCGACGCAGTTGTCAGCGAAGATTTCTTGTTAGCACTACTAGGAGAAGCATCCATCTTCGTGGGCCAATCATCGCCCGTGATTACTCTTGATCAAATCGATACACTTCTTAAAGCGATCGAAGACATTCAAACCGTTGGATCCCGGGTCTACGATGCTTCCGACGAGTTTTTTAAACTGGTCCTCGCATCGGGGCATGGAAAAGGGTCTACACCTGCAGACCTTCTCAAGCAGTCTACCTCTTCTTTGGGTGGTAGTTTTATGATGACTGGCAGTTCAATGATAGCATCCCAACTTCACCAGTCTGTAATTAAAAGCGGTGTCGTTAAGGGCCCTATCAAGCGAGCATGGGATTGGAGAACGGGGGTGTTCTCGGCTAGCAGTTCTGGAGATATACTTAAACAGATCAGACTGGGTTTAACAAGAGACCTAGCAAACCTGTGGTTAGAACAGGCGGATAGTGTTATCTTGTAATGGTCCGCAGGATGATTTGGTCGTAATAGGAATTGTCATAATTGGCAAGTTATGTAGGTTGGTGCTCGGAGGCGTTAGGAGAACATGGTGATTCGCGAACAGGGTAGCATCGTTCCCGAAGAAATGGCCAACGAAAAAAATTAATCTGTCTTGTGAGCAGAAAGTAGGATCAATGAGTTATCAATATATTAATGAGAACTTCTTACTTCAGCTTTGAAGCACCTCGGGTGCCAGTCGAATGTAACCTTCATCCACTCGCTTTCCGGGGTAGAAATTGGCATGCCCAAAACTATTAGACTCGATGGAGGAAATAGAAGGCGACCTAATGCGGAATTGGACACTTTTACGACGCCTCATCTACCTAGGTATCCATACAACTCCACACTTATATCAGAGAGAGGGGGCACCGAGTTATCACTATGTATATGATGATACAATGGCTTGACTTCGGCCTTAGCTGTTCGATGTTACCTTGTGGTGTTTGAAATCTACATAGATATATACTGCCCTCTTCATCTTTCTTATATCGAGCTTAGTTGGAAACAATTTATTCAAGCTCTAGTTGAAGCAAAGAGATTGGACAGCTAACACACCAAACCTGAATAAACCACAGGGCCAATATACCAATAAATAATGGGGTTCTCAGAGGAAGCAATTAGTGAACTCCGCTCTATCATAGAGCAGAGTATTATCAGCGGCGGCGAGTCAACCGCGTCTACCGTCCCCGGGACAGTCGCTGTTGTTGTAGACCGAGACGGGAACGAACTATTTGCCCATTCGGCTGGCAAGCGAGGCATTGTATCCAATGAAGCCATGACGCTGGACAACGTATTCTACCTAGCGAGCTGCACCAAACTAATTGCAGGGCTTGCCTGTATGCAACTTGTCGAAAAAGGCGAACTGAAATTAGACGACGCGGCGCAAGTCGAAGAGCTATGTCCAGAGCTAAAAGATATCAAAGTTCTCAAGGACGACGGAACTTTCGAAGAGAAGAAAAAAGGAATTACCTTAAAAATGCTGTTAACTCATACCTCGGGTTTTTCGTACTCGTTCTTCAACGAGACGTTGAGGGATTGGAGTCTTCCTATCGGCATTGATGAGTTTTCTGGCGATATTAAGGATATCCTGAAGATCCCGCTGCGATTTCAGCCAGGCGAGAAATGGGAATACGGGGTAAGCATACAAACATACCCCTTTTAGACTCGTCTACCTATCTAATACGATTAAATAAACGCATTGAAACTAATTTCGATAGATTGGTATCGACTGGGCCGGAATCGTTCTGCAAAGGAAGACTGGATTGACCCTGAATGAGTACATTCAAAAGAACATCTGCCAACCACTTGGTCTGGGGAACGTTAACATGATACCGACGCAATCTATGAAAGACAACCTAGCTTATATGCACCAAAGACTGCACGACGGCAAGCTCATTCCTCGAGACCACCTGCTCCGGCGACCCCTGCTCGTTTCAACCCCCCAAGAGATCGCCGACACGTTCAACAGCGGCGGAGCCGGTCTCTTCGCCAAGCCCCAGGAATACACCCGTAAGCCCCTACCCCCCAACCCAATCTTCGAACTACCTACCTACGTACATAATGCCGTAAACCGAGAACTCACCTTCCCCACAGGCGTCCTAGCAGTCCTCCTCAACGACGGAACCTGCCCCAAGACGGGCGCCAAGATCCTCGAGAAAGCCACCGTCGAGCAGATGTTCACGAACCAGATCCCGCAGTTCCCCGACTTCGGGCGGCAGGGCATCGCGGCAGCGAAGCCGCACCTGACAAACGCGGGCGCGGAGCTGTACCCGGTCCCCGGAAACGCGCCGCAGGGCTGGGGCTTGACGTTCATGCTGAGCGGCGCCAGCCCGGCGACGGGCAGGTCGGCTAAGACTGCCTTCTGGGCCGGGCTGCCGAATCTGTACTGGTGGGCGGACCGCGAGCATGATGTCGCGGGCATGGTGTGCACGCAGATTATGCCGGCTTTTGACCCGGCGGTCCTTGGCCTGTGGTTCCAGCTCGAGGCCGCTGTGTATAAGCATTTGAAGCTGGCTAAAGCATAGTAGTCAATGGGAATTATCTGCGGCGGGGTTGTTAGGGTTGGAGCTCTAAGTTCCATAAGCTCTGGGTAGGAACTAGTCGCCCGAGGGAGGGACTTAAAAATAGGGGGAGCGTATAAAGTAGGGTTATATAACTCACTTTATGTTATGTACCCAAGGTCTCGCCTAAAGGGTCTTGATGCCAGCTTATGAAGTTCATATATATACCTATATAATGCCATCTCCAAATGAGCTCAGTGATTTAGACTAGAAGTTGACTAAATCAACCAGCTTAACTGGCGTGGATGCTTTCTTATACTAAATAGAGCACTTTCACGTGTGAACTCGGCGAATAGTCCCTAGATTATAGCGCATAGATTTGAGGGCACACCTTAAGTACCCAAATAGTTGGGGATTTATTAGTTCACGTTGGGTCTAAGAAAATAATGATGATGAAAGACTCTGTAAGAAAAGTGGCTTAATTTTAATTGTGTTGTAAGTCTGAACTGAAGTCCTAACGAAGGTTTGCCCTTCCATCCCATGCGTGCTTAGGAAAACACGTCGGGCCTAAGCCGCTGTGATGATATGCCAAAGATACTTGATATCTGTAGCTGAGATGAGAACCGATTGTAGCCGGGTTAACGCCATGATCCATATTGAGATTTCTCCAAATCATAGGCCATTCTCCATGGCGTCTCCAACGGATTTGATATTTCCCTCTCCAGCCCCTTTAATATGTGCCTTAACTGCCTCTGTAAGTCGTATAGCTGTAAGGAGACAGCAACAGCGGCACGTGATAATGCTGGCCTTTTTCGACGGTGACCGAGACCAGAACTTCGGGAAAGAAGGTGTTTCCCTCGCCAAAGTAGCTTCCGGTATCGAAGCGGAGAGTCCAGGTGGACTTAGAGTCTACCTCGCTCAAGACGTCATCTAGAGTGTAAGTGGGTACGTCTCCTGACGAGTGGATGCTGGAATATGGTAGCCACGCCTTGATGCGGCCATCGTCATCGGTCTGAGATTCAAAAGTCTTAAGAGGAGCATGCCCGCCTTCCAGCTTGACGCGGACCCCCTTGGCTGGCTTGCCTACGGAGGTGTCCAGAATATGGCAGGTGATGATGTCTTTGTCGTTTGCCATTGGGGTGGTGATGACTTAAGACTTTTATATTGGAGATGTTTAGACTGAGATGGTCTGATGTTTGCTTCCGACTTGACCGCAGGTGAAATGTCCCTACTTGTACTCGAGAGCCACGAAATTCAGGAGGTCCTATTAGACGGTGAGGCTAGTAGATAGGGGGTAGGACAAACGAGGCGGAGCGGTTCGGCGGGGCTGTGGTATGCGGCCTCTCTCCTCCGAACCGAGCAAAGTACTTGGGGGATAATGTATAATACCCAGAATGGTGAATGGCGTCTGAGAATGTGAGAATGTGAGAATGTGAGAATGTGGCATATGAATAAGGAAGATTAAACCTGAGGTAATTGGACCTGAGGCAAGGCAAAGACAGGGTTGTAGAAGGTTGTGAGGGGAGATTGTAACGCTACCGACAACTAAAATTCCTAATGCAGCTTTGTTTTTGGACCTGATTGCTCAGGTGTTAGGTACCTCCTAGGTAGGTAAGGTTACCAGGTAGCTGCCAGGTGTATAGGTTGTACCCCGCTACCTGTAATAGCCCCCACCGTGGGGTGAGATACGTACCTAGGTACAATACTGTGAAAGGTAATGTTTCTTTATTTAGAAGCAAAACGTAATATAACTAGTGTTACTTACAGTTTACAGTCTACAGTTTACACACATTATAGATTTCTCCCCTTTTCCCCTCCCCCCTCCCCCCTATTTCATCTTGCCACAGCCGTAGTTGGTTATCATACAAGGACAAGCCCACTTGACTAGCTGCAGCTTGAAAGAAGCAAGTAGAGGGCTAAAGCCTCAAGTGCGACCTCACAGCCTCTAAATGATCCCTAAACAAAACTATCGGTGGGACGACACTTGCTTGACTAACCTAGAGAATATCGCCTGTCGATTTGATTTGACATCTAATTATAGCCCAGCGAGACATTTAAGTAGTGTAACGCTTCTGCACAAACCATATGTAACATATGTAAGTAAGACATGACGGCATTCTCCTATTCCCCTCACTCGCATTTACATATACTCTAGTAATATACTCCAGTAATATACTCCAGTAACATTGTGGAAGGTGTCCTAAGCAAGGCAGTGCATTCATCAACAACGTTAGATAGATGAAGCGGTGAAGAGTATAACATTCTAATATTCTTCAGACGTCGATAACCGAGCAAGCGAGAGTTGCATCACGCTAAATCTACCTACTTCACTTATGCCAAGCAACATTCCATTATTCCCAAGCTGCTACGGCATTCCCACACTTTAACCATTTTCAGTCCTGCCTTCTCGAACAGCTCTCGGAATTCCGAAGGTGTTCGCTCTTTGCCGTTCATCAAAGACATCATGGCTATGTCCAAGGCGAACCCGTGATGAACATGAACCCCGTAATTGGCTAACAGGGGCTTAGGGGCTGGCTTGATATACGGGTCTCCTATTGTTTCAGTCAAAGTAATATCGGCAACAAGTAGCCGCGAGTCACGGCCCATGGACCCGGCGGTATTCAGAAGAATCTCGACGCAATCCTCGTCATTCCAGTCATGTCTGTTTCTGCGTCAGTCCTGTCTTTAACGTGGAGTCTACAGCTTGTCTTACAGGACATGGCGCATCCAGTATATGTCGGCTTCCTTGATGGGATTCGGCTTGAAAAAGTCGTGCGCCACGAACTGTACCCGTCCCGACTCTAGAGCTTCGGGGAACTCCTATTGCCAAATTGAAGAACCTTGCTCAACCGCGGTCGGCAGGTCTTGTACGACAAACCGTAATTCTGGATACAGGCGGGCTAGCTGAAGGTCAAAACTACCTAGATATGCCGTGTTAGCCGACCCTTATGTGCGAAGGGACTTTTTGTAGTCTGTCAACCTTTAGGGATAACTTACCGACACCGCCTCCGACGTCAACAACTAAACCGTTTCCCAATTCCTTCCAGGGGAAGTCATATAAGGTCGCACTGCCTAAGCTCTTACTGTTGCCAGCTAAGTACAAGTTGTAGGTTTGCGCGTCGTCCTTCGGGACCAACTCCTCACCGGGTAATGCTTCTACTTTTTGATATGGGCCTCTTGCAGCGCCAGGACTTGCTTTATCCAGTGCCGCTCGCGAACGAGGAACTTTCTCGTTCATCCACGTGAAGAACGGAAGTTCCGTGCCCACGGCCAATGGCCAGGCTGCGAGTTCCGGATCATGGCTCGGTCCTCGGATAGGGTCCTTAAGTGCTTCTGGAAGTGCTGAAGCAGCTGCGAATCCCATAGAGCTGGGTGCTATAATCAGCTTTGTGCCGGAATATGTTAATCGCCTGGCTGTCAAGATCCGCTCACCTGCATTTGACTTGCCCTAGCAGCTTCTCGTCGTTGGCCAAAGCCTGCGAGATCCTATTATTTGCGAACTTTCCCGGCGCAACCTCGCGAAAGATATGCTGCGTGGTCAGGACTCGCAGTATACGAGCTCGGTCCTGTTAGTGTAACTTGTTGCAAAGGCGCACATCAAAGCAGAAGGGACATGTATCTAAGCAGGAGCTCACCGAGCTTGTTCTTCTCGAGCCCAGTTGACTTGGCTAAATCCTCGGCGGATACTCCATCCACTCCTCCCTTGTCTAATAGGACCGCGATATTATGCTCAACCGCTATGTGAAGTGCTCGAACCTCAAAATACAACTCGGCAAAGTCTACTAAACGCAGATGAGGCTCAGCTACGAGCTCTTCGATCGATCCCAGTGCTGCAATGACGGTTCGTTGCGCGTCGTAAGCCTTGCGCCCAGGTATCGCAAAGGTCGTTTCAGAGGCCGGTATAGCGTCCGGTGCTGGATTCTCCCATTCGGCGATCAGTATTTCTGATGCGTCTTGGATGAGCTTTACTACTTGTCGTAGAGCCGTAGCCCGTGATGATACATTGTCGTAAGACATTGTGAAGGAAAACTCACTAATGCTTTCCTGTCAGGGGCTTCGTTCTTGGCTTTACTTCACCATGAAATGGCATATCCTTATGTATCATGGCATAAGCGTGGGCATAGCCCAATTAACTACCAGCTACTCTAAAATGCTTGGTGATACCCTCCGAATTGCCGGTGGAGATTTGATATGACTGCATTTATGACATGCATCATTTATATACGCCGGCATTCTAATTGAGGTCAGGGCGAGAGCCGTATTGGATGGTTATGTCGTAGTGTCCGCTTTAAATGGGCTGTCCTGCTCCCCTCAGGATAATGGGACGTGGGGAAACCCTGTCTGTGAGAGATAGTATAACGAGGTACGCGAGGGGACACTTCTGCCTATTAGATGTTTTTGTGCTTACGAATGCGGGTGTAATATATTCATCAGATCTCGATCATGCCGAGGATAAGTCCGCAGAACCGCATAGTACTACGCGGTAATTTTCTTTATATTATCATATAATTACCGTAGTAAATAGTAGGAATGAAGTTTAACCTACATAATTATAGAATAGGCTGTTGCTGTAGACTATGATATATGTTACAGTTCTAGGTTAGGAGTGTACCTCGTTAAAAGGTAGTTACCCAAGACTAGAAGACATTTTGCTAGCATGGGATACTGGGATGATACCGTGATTTGGGCGGTGCCATATTAGACCTCACTGAGATATAGTAGATTACTTGATTTATTAATGTCTTCTTGCTTATCTTCCTATAGTTGTACCTAAAGAAAGAAGCCGAGAGCAAACAACTAGTGTAGGATTTAAGCGTATGGTATCATAAGCCGGAATATAAAGGGGTTTAATGGCCCCAAAGTCGTACTCTTTGTAATAAACACTAAGACCTGTGTAAGAATTTCGATATAAAAACAAGAAACTAGGTAGTTGTATACCACAACTAATTCAATCAGCTGAGTCAATCGGAGAGTCTCGATATAGAGGGGGCTAAGGCTGCTTTAACACGTTGGTTCTGATTTGGTACATAAAAGAGATATGATGTATTATTTACTAATAGTTACCAATCTTAAATCTACCTAGTTTATAACCAAAGTTCTCTTGTTCCCGAGGCAATAATAAGCTCTAATTATCTTTGACATGATACATTCATCACTCCCATAGTATATCTCCATCGAAATTGCGGAAGTGTCGCTTCCATCAATACCCTCGATCAATGGGCGAACCTGAAATCCTTTCTTTTACTTCCTTGGTCTGTGGTGGTTTCGAGATAATGTATTTGCTCCTATGACCATGTCAGTTTCTTTGCCGTATTGTTCTCGTACGCGCAATTCTTACCTCGCGAGTCATTGCATTCCAATCCCTATCTCTTTGCTTGTTGCGGTATATATAATAGACTTTTATAAGTATGTATATTACTATGTTTGCTGCGCAAACTGCGACGAGCTGCTTGTTTCCGCGACGGTCTGTCAATATTCACGTCAGTTGGGGCATAGGCTCAAAATACTAAAAGGGTCAAGATTACACACATTCGGGTTTGTCATCAGCACGGTAGATGTTCGAATATGCAATACCAGAGACCTGGACGAACATACTGCCGTAGTAGTTAGCTTAAGTTTCTGATGGGCATGATATAACACTCACTTGTAGGCTGCGGCAGAGACTGTGCGTGCTCTGACGGTATTAGAATTCCGGCTACACCAGCCAACCTGTATAGCGTGGGCTGTATGACTTATTAGAAAATACAAATACGTAACAATAGGGGCTTATACACACGATATGGATAGGAGAGTAAAATTATCAATATAGCATATCTCGCCCATGGAGATGTATTACTCGGTATCACAGCCAGGGCGATGATGTTAGGCAAAACCCAAATCTGCGCAAGCATGCCCATTAACGACCTCTCATTCCACACCTCGGAGAGATATGTTAGGGTAAGCATCTTTATAGACAATTGATTAGACTCTGCTAGACTATTGAGGCTCTTTTGAAGAGGTGGATGATATATGGGGGATAACTTACCGTGACGATTCCTATAACTTGACTAGGAATCGAAAGCAGATTTGAGTTGAACGTATCGAAACCAAGATCTCGGAGCGTTAGGGTTAGATATTGATCCGGGGGGCCGACTGGGATTCCGAACACAAGTCCGGAAATGTAAATTGGCCAAAGGTCATAATCGCATAGCGATCTCCATAATCTTTTCAAGTCGACCGCTTGACGGTTATGCATGTCACCTTTAGAAGGGTCATCCCTTAATATACGATTGACCATTATGACCTCTTCTCGTTCGTTGAACCAGCCTTTCGGTCGATGCCATGCTTTAGTCTGTGTAGGCGATGGTGCCATCATAAACCAGGACCACACTCCGACGGAGAGGGTGAAGACGCCCTCGATCAGGAATAACCATCTCCACCCCTCTTGTCCGTGGTGGCCGCGTAGTCGGAGGATGCCAAAAGCCAGAATGGGCGCAATAATATCGACTACCTTTAGCGTTGTCCAAAATAGAGCCAGGCGAAAAGGCAATTCGCTGGCCTTAAAGAAATATGACTAAGTCCGAACCATGTTAGATCCTGTTACGACGACTTGTCTCTAAGACATAAGAAGAACCAACTTACCAGGTATAAAACAATGTCCGGAATGAAGCCACCTTGTAGCAAACCAAGTAGCACACGGCATGCAAGAAAAGTCTCCCTGCTGTTCAGCCAAAACTGAGAGGCTGCCACAATAGACCATAAGACCATGATTGTGGGTATCCATCGATCGGGTCCTATACGACATATTAGTAGAGGCTTCAAGCTAAGCTAGACGAGTATAAGCTTGTACTTGCCTACTTTCTTGCTCACCAACTGTGATGGAAGTTCGGCGCACAAGAATGCTAATCTGAAGATGGTATTTCCCAAGTTATAGTCTATATAGTTACTCGGTTATTAGAAGGTAACTCTCACATGGAATATATACGTATGTGTATATATATAGTACTTGCCATTCGTAGATAAGCCCAAGTCCTCTAAGAAATTATCCGTATTCGCTTGTGACAAGTTTCCACGATCAAGGTCCAAGGCAAAGAATGCGATGCATGCCCACAGCGTGATCTTCCAGTCAAGCTTGTTAATAAGCGGTAACTCCTCAGCCCACGTCCACCTAGCGCTCGGGTCGAACCGATGTAAGTTCTCATACTTTTCAGTTGGCTGGAAGTATTTTGCTTTCTCCGGGTCGTCGAAAACGGAAGGCTGCGTCGCAATCTCGTCTAAGTTCTGCCGCTGTTTCCTGCGAAATAGAGTCATAATAGGGAGCACCGGAGGCTCTGTCTTCTGCAATTCTTGATGCGTAAGAATCCGCTCCTTTACGGCGGCCGGATCTTTGCCATGCTTTTTCTCGGAGCCCGACAGCGACTCAGGCCGGATCACGACCGTGTCCTTTAAATCTGCCATGATATCTGAATAACTGAACAACGACCGATGTTTTCACATCTGAACCGATCCCAGATGTTTGGAAAGTCGGTCGTACGTCACGGATAACGGCCATCCTTATAGTACTTCTGGTGCTTGAAGCTGGCGCGTTGACGAGACCTTGGCATGATCTCGCCATTCGCCATCTTCCTCTTTTAGGAATCACTGGCCGTCGTATTGGCTGGGCTCGGTTGAAAAGTGCAACGCAGTACGAGAATTTCTGGAGACAGATGAGGAAAGTTTCTCGGGTAGATTTGGAAAATATGAGCACGTCATGTACAGGTTCTGATCACGAATGTGGCTAAAACTTGACAATACAACTACAATCGCGCTGTGCATGACACCAACTACCAACCAATCTTGATTCTTTTAGTCCGCTAAGGGCTCGGCGTAGTAACATCTCCGTGCTTCTGACATACCCAGCTCCTTGGAATCGGGTTTGTGAGTAGATCAAGTCAAAATAAGCGAATAGAAATATCCCCGATGGTGTTCGCCGCATCTATGCAAGTATCAGTTCTGACAGGATTTGGCAACCCCACATCTCTCTTGGATACTTCACTCATGTAGTAGTTATGGATTAGAATGCATAAGATGAATAAGTAATGGTAAGCTGTGGTCATTAAAGCGCCGCATATACATGATTGAATAGAAAGCTTATTCCGACCATGGCTTACTTAAAGCTGGAACCGATTTGAGGAACTATTAAACCAAGTTGATATCTGCCAATTGGTTGGACTAGTCTTACTTCCCTTTGCGTGAACTAATTCCGTGACAAGAGACCGTATCAAGCTTTCATTCCGGGTGTAAGTTGTCTACTATGGAGATGGTGCGGACTGTAGGGCCGACTACATGTGGAGTCTGCCGACAACGATTTACATAATGAAATTAGACAGAATACAATGAAATAGACTTTGAAGTTACCTTGATAGCGCTGGTTTGTGGTAGATTTTTAGTTATGAAATCGAGCCAGCTTCTCAGAAATACTCTTGCTAAAGGTCTTCGTTATTACTACGTAGTCCTAGTTATTAAGGCATGCTTGAATGTGTCTTTCACTATTACCTAGCGCTATGGAAATGAATTTGATAGGGGTGCGTAGGTAGGTAAATTCTGATAGGTGATCATAGTTTAATATAACAGTGATCAACAATTGGGCAAATAGTTATCACTTATAAAGGTATGGGCTTCTATTGTCTAAATAATGAAAGAAGACTACAAACAACTCCTAGGCTAAAAAGTGTCTTATTTGCAACCCGATATTAAAATGTCACTACTTAACTGTTTTGCTCTACCGTGCCTTTGAAGTTTATAATAGGTATTTAATATTATTAAAAAAAGCTCGGGTCCAATATCACCGAATCAAATCCCAACATATCGAATAAGATGTGCAGAATGAACTATAGCTTAGTAATACATCGAAGACAGAGCGGGGAAGGGTAGCTCTCCGATATGTAACTTTATTAGTTAGACGTTTGCTATTTAAGATCTTTGTGTACCTCGATCTATACCAGAAAAGTACATCTCATGTAAGACGAGATAAAGAGCATAAATCTCGCCAAGTAATAAAACAAATCGTCAAAATAAACACTTCTCTCGCCCACCCTTCATTTTTCCGAGTCCCAACTAGTACTGCTAAGATAATCTAACCAAAATGTCGGTCCCTCCTAACCTTCCAAAGATGACTTATCGGTTCCTAGGCCGATCGGGTCTCCAGGTCTCAGCGATATCCCTAGGTGGCTGGCTCACCTATGGCGGACACGTCGATAACGGTATACTGTTCAAAGAGGCATATCTAGAACGGCATATAGCTAACTGAAGCCGTAGAAAATACTTTCACCTGCATGAAGGCTGCTTATGACAGCGGCATTAACTTCTTCGATTGTGCCGAGGCCTACGCGGGTAAGGAAACACTCCTAAGAGAAATCGACGGTCGGATGTAGACCCGCGGGCTGATGTAGCAGAATAGGGGGCAAGTCGGAGGAGGTGATGGGCGAGGCAATCAAGAAGTTCGGCTGGAAACGCAACGACCTCGTGATATCGACCAAGGTACTAAAGTAACACGCCGACCCCATAAGACAGGTAGCTTCTAACACCATTGCAAAGATCTATTGGGGCGGCGCGTTTGGTGACAACCCCGTTAACAACAAGGGGCTTAGCCGGAAGCATATCATCGAGGGCATGGACGCCTCGTTATCTCGTCTAGGACTCGAATACGTAGACCTGATCTACGCGCATCGCCCGGATAGACTCACACCGATGGAGGAGACTGTGCGCGCCTTCAACCACTTGATCAACACCGGAAAGGCGTTTTACTGGGGCACCTCGGAATGGAGCGCCGATGAGATCGCCCAGGCATGGCGCTACGCCGACAAGTTGGGCCTCATTGGCCCTGTCATGGAACAGCCATTATACAACATGCTGGATCGCGAGAAGGTGGAGAAAGAATATGCTCATCTGTACCGAGAGGTTGGACTCGGACTGACGGTATTTTCGCCGCTGAAAACGGGCATCCTCTCCGGCAAGTACAAGAACGGAATCCCCCCCGATTCGAGATATGCCCAAGAGACAGTCGAGTTTATTGCAGGGTTCTGGAAGCGGACAGGCAAGGAGAAGTGGGAGGGCATCATCGAGCAGGTCAAGAAACTCGAGCCCATCGCGGACCAACTCGGCGTTAAGCAAAGCCAGCTAGCCTTGGCGTGGGTGCTCAAAAATCCGAACGTGAGCTCCGCCATCACCGGCGCGAGTAGTGCTGAGCAAGTGTACGAGAACGTGCAAGCCGTTGAGGTTGTGGACAAGTTGACCCCTGAGATTATGGAGAAGATCGATGAAATCCTGGGAAACAAGCCGCCTGCCATTATTGAAAGGTTTTAGGCGGTAACTTGTATGCTATGCTGCTAGCTATTGGCAAGATTGGAGGTAGTCTAAGAAGGCAATAAATAGAGATGCGCATCTCTATGGAATGTAACGACTATCCCCGGCCTCACTAGCTGCTAGGAGCTAGTTATGGATATCGAGAAAGTCTTGACCGAGTAGATAGACATTAATATTCATCAAGAGCAAATGTATAACGCCCCTGATACGGCTGCGACCAGTCCCAAGTAGACATCAATTAGATTCCGACCCTTCTCAACAAGGACGAACCACCCAGATGTCCCTATTCTATACAACCGGGCATACCAACGTGATGAGTTGCCGTCTAATATATCTCTTTGAACAATCGCAATAATTTCGTTAGATAACCCAGGCAGCACATGTAATGCCCCAAACTCCGTTGTCCTACACAGAAATAATATCCCTTCTAAGCCTTCCGTTCTTTAATCGTAGGGTCAATGCGGAGGTAAGACCGCTCTCGGGGGCGGTTCCGGTATGTTGGATGCCGCAGTGGGCGTTATAGATTGAGTCTGATCCGCCCCTTGGTGTAATTCTTCGTATGTTGGTGGTCTGCTGGTACCGGGCCCGTCCGTGGCTATAGCACCCGGCGATGGTTGCAAGGGACTTAATTCTACGTCGTCTGTGTTATCAGATCGTTTTTGTGCGGGGGTGTAGGCTGGTGGCGCTTCACCCAGCTCATTTAGACCTTCCTCTCGACTGCCCAAGTTCGATCCTAGTCCACGTCTCCCTCCTCTTGTCCGCCGCTCGGCTGGTGCCCTCGGTCTTGAACGATTGCCCATGGCTTCTAAATCCCGTTCTAAAGCGCTGGTGCCGTATAACATGCGGAGCTTCCTTCGGCGGCGATAACGGTAGCACATGAGGAGCGTTCCGACACCGACGAATATGATGATTGGGACAAGTACCCAAGAAAACGGGTATGTCGCGAATATATTGCCCGAGCTGCTGTCGTCTGGGTCCATTTTCGGGTCCTATTTGAGCGTGTCGTGTGACTTAGATCAGAAGCTGCTTCGGTTCGGGGCTCTAGTTAATTATAAGTTGGACTGAGCGTAGTACCGTAGGTGGAAGATTTGGAATTGGCGTTTAAATGATCAGCTGTTGTTGACAAAATATTCGTACGCCAAGTGCGACGCCCAGAGAGCGGAGAATCTTTGTGGCACCGAGGGGTGATGGAAGATGGCGATTTCATTTAAGATCCATCGGATTGATTGGTATCGTGCGGTGTCGACCTCGCAGCGCTATGCTTGAGAATGCATCACACGAGACGAGAGAGAGAATATCTGCAAAAGTGCACCTCGAAACGTTGGTGGTGGCTCGAATTCATCTGATAGTTTGGGGAGTACAAGGTGAATCGGGGTGCGATAAAGAGACGGGCGGCTTGGGTGATGAGGGGATGAGGGGATGATGAATCCTCTTTGGTTAACCCCTGAGATATGTACCTAGGTAGGTATGCAACCGAATTTCTTCCCAAGAGGTTACAATTATTTTGAGTTATGTAGGTTGGCGCAAGGTGTAAAGTGAGAATAAATATGCCGACGGGTGACCCGGTAAGTTCGGATCATTGAGCTGACAACCGGCGCTTCCATGTTTCTAAATTTTGGAGGCTTTGTCCCTTAGGTAGGTAGGTTTAGGTACGTAAACCTTTGTTAAGGTCAAGCTAAAATCTCCCCCGCAGCTCTAGCTTACTACATGAGGTACCTAATGTCACCTGTGTCGTATGTACCAACATACTAGGTCCGTACCTGTCCATATACTTGGATCTTTCTGGTTACTATACAGTATTATAAAATATGCCATTTTCGTAGCAGGGGCTCAAACTGTTCTTAGACTTACTCTGCTTGGCTAGAGACATTAGAACCATCTAGACATTGACATCAATAGTTGAATTGGCAATTGACCAACATACGTTAGGTACCTAATGTGTACATGCTTGCTTAGAACCGCCCTAAACTTTATTTATTTAAGGAACTGATCTCAGCTCTAAAGTCTGGTGTGGGTCTATATTTCGCAGCCGGAGGTTTCATCCATTCCATCTAACCCAGACTTTTACTGTCCGTAAGCATAGGAAACAACGCTTTTCGGAATCCATCAATCTTGGTTATTACGTGGTAAAGCAACTGTATTATCACCTACATACCAAGTTAGCAGCCTATTGCTTTTAAGCTGCGATAAAAATAAAGCAGGAGAATCTCGGCCGAGGAGCGCGACTCTTACGCTACCGCGTCGAACAAGAGAACTTAGAAGACTAAGCACACGATGGTCCGCGCTATTAAAGGTTTTATTTATTTTTTTCCGTCTTTAATTTATCATATTCTTTGGTTGCTAATATACATTCAGGGACTTTGGTTGAGTGCGAGCCTTCAATCAAATCCATCATTGTCAGCATCGATAGCAAAAACAATGAGTACATAATTGAGGACCTCGACGAATCTCACCTTGTAATCAAAGATAATATGGTGGCTCAGTTGAAGATGGAACTTGATAAGGTATCGTCAGATTGTCTCCAAACTCCTAGCTTAGGCTACTAACACATCTTAGCGATTGAAGGAGAACGTCCCAGAAGTAGAGGACGACTCCGATTCGGACCGAGATGTTCAATAAAGGAACTCAATAAAAGGAACTCAATAGCTACATATTTAGGTAGACACCCCTATGAAACATGAACAAATGTAAATTCTTATATAATTCGCTTCGTACACAGCAGTCTATCAATTTAAAATGACGCCAAGTCTCTTCCTGCCAGTTGTAATTGGGTCTATACTCGGTGCGCTTTGATACCATCCGAAGCACCTGTCAATATCAATCTATAGCTTCTCAAACCTCGGCCTAGTCCTCCTTAGTCCGGACAGTAAAGCGGTTTTGAAGTCGTTAGACTGAAGCATCGCCTGGTTCCACAGGCTTGTGTATCTCAAGTCTATTCCAGTTAGTTATCGCACTGCTATATATATATATCCCTTGAAGGCGCACTTACTATCTGCAACTGTGTTGTCCCTTGCGTGATTCAACAGCTCTTTCGTGCCCTGGACGGCAACCGGGCTCTTCGATGCTATGAATGATGCGAGCATGCTAGCTGCCTCGATAGCCTTTGCTTTGGTTTCCAGCACCTGACTCACGAATCCAACAGCAAGAGCCTCTTCAGCACCAAAGCCCCGAGCTGTCAAGCAAACATCCTTAACCCACGAGAAGCTTGAGACGATCTTGGGTAGCCTTGCGAGAGTGCCTATGTCTGCAGCCATACCGATGTCTACTTCCTTGACAGAAAATCTAGTATCTCTCGAGCAGATTCTTACGTCTGCACAGCAGGCTATATCGATAGCCAAGCCGATAGATACACCGTTCATTACACAGATAACAGCTAGCTCATTGTTAGTTGGCGACGGTTTCAATATTTAAATATTCAAAAATTGCGACCGAAAATGATGTTTAAATGATGTTTACTTACGCTTCTCGCATTTCTCTATCTGGTTTATGCAGTCTTGGAACTCGGAGATCTGGCGCCGGAGTTTCGTTGCCTGTCTCGCAGCATCTGGCTGTTGATCGCGATTCCCTAGGAGGCCTCCCTGATCCACGGCTTGCACATCTAGACCAGCAGTAAATGCCCGGTCGCCAACTGCAGAAAGTATTATAGCGCGAACGCCTGGATCGCGAGACAACTTTGCGAATATCCTTCCAAGCTCTACCCACATATCTGGTGTGAATGCATTTAGCTTGGATGGGCGATTGATCTCGACGTGAGCTACATATTCGGATGGCGACGAGATAATAAAGTGTCTAAAGTCCGAGTAACTTTCTCTTTCTGATTGGGCCATGGTTTAATACTTGGGGTTTACGGAATGGGAGTCGATATGAGTAAACGCTTGGGCGATATAAAATGTCTTTGGAAATGTGAGGAGTTGAAACTGATTTCTTTTCTACCTACATATCTCTTATGTAAATCGTCCCAGCTTTATGACTTGTCCTGCTTGTCTTACACGCCCCGACTTGCCGAGGCTCCTCTTATGGACCCTGTTTTGAATTGCATATGTACCGTTACATGCTGGTATGCACCTGTCGCGAAGTTTTCCAGCCACATTTCATTAATCCCTGCTTGTCTTGTCTTATCGATACATCCTTATCACATCTTGTCACACCAAGCTAAGGTACAACTTGGTTTAGATCGTCGGTGGGAAATTGTCTAATTGACCGATTGCTAAGAAGAAAAAAGTTGATTGGCTTCTCAACTTTACCTGTTGTACGTTTTTTTTTCCTTAACGGAATCACACGACAGCATACATCACACCCGTTGACGATGGCAGCAGAGGTCGCGCCACTTCCGCAGCTGAAGCTTCCTTCGGGGCCTTCTCAGATTACTGCAGAACAGCGATATTGGAAATCGTTTAAGAACCAACTTGTGATTCCGTCGCCGACACAATACCCCATCACCCACATCACCTTTCCCGCGACGAATCCAGCTGCGATTGGTACTTCCAACAATGATTATTTCGCTGTCACGACGGGAACCCGTGTCCAGATTTACTCGATAAGAACGAGGAAGCTGGTTAAGACAATCACTCGTTTTGGAGACATTGCGCGAAGCGGAGACGTCCGACGGGATGGTCGTATATTGGTGGCCGGAGACGATACGGGCAAGATTCAAGTCTTTGACGTCGGGTCGCGGGCCATTCTCAAGACGTGGGCGCAACATAAACAGCCAGTATGGACAACGAAATTCTCCCCGGCTGATCTCACAACTCTCATGAGTACGAGCGATGATAAAACAGTGAGATTATGGGATCTTCCCAGCCAAGAAAGTACGTCAACGTTCGTAGGCCATGCCGACTACGTGCGCAGCGGCAGTTTCATGCCCGGAACCATGTCAAACATGCTTGTATCCGGCAGTTACGATTCTACAGTGAAGCTCTGGGATCCCCGAACACCGGGCACAGCCGTCATGACGTTTAAACACGCTGCGCCTATAGAAGACGTGTTGCCTCTCCCCTCTGGAACTACTGTTCTCGCATCGTCTGAGAACCAGATCTCCGTTCTCGACCTCGTGGCTGCGAAACCGCAACACATAATATCCAATCACCAGAAGACCGTCACTTCTCTATCCCTTGCCTCCAACGGCCGTCGCTTAGTGTCTGGGGGTCTAGACGGCCATGTCAAGATCTTCGAGACGACGGGTTGGAACGTTGTCGCGGGTGCCAAGTACCCCTCTCCCATTTTGGCTGTCAGGGTCATTACCGCCGGTGCCAACGATGATGACCGACATCTAGCAGTCGGCATGCAGTCCGGTGTTCTCTCGCTGCGCACGCGGCTCACAGGACCTGAAGCGACTCGCGAGCGTGAGCGCGAGAAGGAGATGTCCGCGCTGCTCTCCGGGAACATCGACTCGCACGACAAAATCAAGAATAAGCGGAAGCGCCGCCACGGCGCAGCCAAGCATCTTGACATGATCGGAGAGGGTGCCGACGTCGTCATCGCCAATGATCTCTCGCGGCCCAAGCGCGAGACGCCTTGGCAGAAAGACTTGCGACACGGCCGATTCGCTGCGGCCCTAGACCGTGTGCTCGACCCAAGCGCTAAAGACCACAGCCCGCTAACGGTGCTCACGCTGCTGATCGCACTTCGCCATCGCAGCGCCCTACGCGAAGCCCTCGAGGGCCGCGACGAGGCTACCGTCCAGCCCGTTCTCAAATGGGTGCAGACGCACATCATCGACCCGCGCTACGTTAGCATGTGCACCGACGTCGCTATGCATCTGCTCGATCTGTACTCCGAATTCGTCGGCGGCAGCGCCGAGCTCCAGGCTAGCTTTATGACGCTGCACCGCAGGGTGCGGCTCGAAGTCGAGAGGGCGCAGGTGGCGACTCAGACGAGCGGGATGCTGGGGACCTTGCTGGTGAGCAGCTTGGATTAATGCACTCGGCTCTATCGAAGAGAAGAGAAGAGAAAGATCGGTCGAAGGGAAAGTGGTATTAAGGGAAGGAGAAGGAGAAGAAGAAGAAGAAAAAGTCTCAAGACGGTGGATCTTTTTTGCATGGCGATGGCGTTTCAGGCCGGAAAACTAAGGGTGTTTTGCCATTTTAGGATCGGACTTGACATCTGGGTACGAACGAAGGAGGCTTGCCCGCCAGGCGTTGTAAGACTCGCCTTGGTAGTATAAGCAAAAGAAATGTAGTCTTGTATTAGGGATTTTATGCTACGGTAAAGATTGATTGAGTTGCCAGTTCCAGTTTTGGAAAAGAACACAAGTCTGAATATTCCTGTCATATCACGGCAACTCAGCGCTACGCATGGAAGATACAACGATATTTTAAATCATTCGTATATTTCAAGTGGTACCTATCGAAATCGGACCTACCAAGTAAAGCTGCCTCTGAACTTCCTAGCTTCTAATTACGTCAACCAGGTTGCGTACGAGTCTAAAATGGAGATTTAGACCATTTTCCATTCGGCCCTCCGCAGTATTTTCCACACGCCGAAGCCCTCCCTTTCCGCACGTCCATCTTGTCTAAATGATCACGACCGAACGCGATTGTCCTCCTCCCCCCCCCAATACATTAAACACCCCCAAGATACCGGACAGAGACTGGAAAGGGAAATGTAAAACAGCAAAGCAAGTAACCGGTACCTACCTCTGTTGCTTCAAACACATTATACATATTATACAACGCCTTCTCTCGAATTCGTAAAATTTTCGTATCATCAATATCCTCCATGTCGTCGTGCTCGGCCCGTGCCGATATCAATCCTACTCATTTCTTCCATGAGTGCCCATTCTTCGTTGGCCCCTCGCCCCGGGGTTGGCCCTAAGCCGCCACTCATCATCGGTACCTTGGCTGGAATTGGCGGACCGATGCCGAATCCCGAGCGAGCGGCGCCTGAGCCATGATTCTCATAATCGAATGTGCTAGCACGAACAAGCGCTCGAGGGGGCGTACTGTTCCGCTGATGAGGCGTCGAAGGGCCAAGTGGATTGGGCCCTGAGGAAATTGGTGCCGGTAAGGCTGATGCCCGATGTGCTTTCTTCTGTAAGCGGTTTCGCCCCGTGCTCACAGGAGGAGAAGGTGTGGGATCAGAAGGGATATATGTTGGCGGTGCAGCTATTGCCGACTGAGGTCGTGTACTGGTACGGGGTGGCCGGCGGCCAGAGGGCGGCATCGGCTGCGCGCCAGCAGGGACTGGACGTGAACGTGTCTCCACAGGCTCAACAGGCTTCTTTGGCTCTGGTTCCGGCGCCCAAGTGTCCATAGGCAAGTGATCTGAGGGATCAACTTCCCGTCCATCTGGTGTCACTATCTTTCCATCTGCATTGGTATATTCTCCGTCCTTTGTCGACGCCACGGTAGGGTTCAGGGCGTCATAAGAGTCTGGGCCGAAAGGAACCCCTGACAGTCGGCGACCATCAGATGGGGGAGGCGCCGGACTGACCGATTTGCGTTTGATCGTGTGGTTAGCACTCGGGGCTGGAGAGACTCCTCGAGACCTCGAACCTGAGGTTGGCCCCGAGGGCGTGGTAGGTCCGCCAGCATAATGAACTAGGCTTCTATCATAGACTCTCGAGCTGCTTGGGTGGTGGACATTAGGGGAATGCTGAATAGCGTAATTTGAGGGAGGCTCGCTTTGCTGTCTACCTCGGGTTGGAGTAGCCATAGGAGGTGGTTGGGTATATCGACGCGCTTGCTTTCTTTCTTGCTGGAAGCGATCCGAGATCTCGCGCGCCATAGCTGGGTCAACCCCCGGAACCAGCGTTGGAGGTACAGAGGGGATATCATAATCGCTTGGCGCATGCACCTGACTATTTTCTAGTTCACTTGGATAATTCAGACTATGATCCATCTGTCTCGAATACCTTGGCACCAAAGTGAGTGCTTGGGAATAATCCTCACCAGGTATGGGCGATGGTGATTGGTTGTAGCTACTAGGGTCGTACTGTTCTTGAGATGAGATAGGGGAAGGGCTATAATGTCCAGACGGCGCACTATCACGCCCGTTTAATGCCAACGGCGCGGGACTAGAAGTTTGGTGGTACTCCTGCTCATCGTACTGGTGCGTTCTAGATCCGCTACCTCGGGGTCTTGCGCTTGGCGGCGTCCAGGATTCCGGAACATCCTCTACCGTCGGCTGCATTGATCGGTAGTGAGCTTCGTATGCTGGGTCGTAAGAGTAATGGCGCGACTGGCGGTTGGCATCGGCCTCGCGGTATGGTACCATGCTTTGCATATCTGGGGCCGACTCGTACGGGCGGTACGTAGGCCGACCAGGATAAGATGACGGCGCCGCTGAAGGCACTGAGTATCGGTGAGCTTCATTCCGTAGAACATCATGTCTCATATGTGGAACAGCTTTATGCTGTAGCATGTCGAAGCTGCCACGGGTAACTAGTTCTTGTGAACCTACACTTGAGTTCCTAACTCGGTGGGCCGGTGGGGGCGGAGGACAATCATCGAACTCAATCGATTGCCGAGGATGGTGGCCTGGCGGCGGAGATTCGTAGGTTTGCTGACCATGGGCGAAAGATGACCTAGTTTCTACTTCATATGACCGACCATAAGCAGAGTCAGAGTAACGTGGTTGTTCATTATCTTGCGAAGGAAGCTTATAGTTCTTATCTAGCGGCCGGTGGGGTGGCATCGAGTACTGACTCTTGCTGATATGTGTTAAAGCGTACTGGTCGGGATGAGTGCTGGGTCTGCTTGAGGGTGATGTACCATATTCGGCAGCCTGTAATGGCGCATGGTTTGGAACGAAAGATGGGGGAGTTGGCTGTGGTCGGGATGGAATGTGCACTTGGTCTGCCACTGCCACTGCCGCTGCCGGTGAAGGTGAAGGTGCCTGGCCCGTGACAGGATCGGAGGGTAACGGACGTCGTTTTACTACCGTCTTCTGGGGCCCGCCGGCAGATTCTGCCTCAGGATTCGGGGTTACGCCATTTGGTTTTGCCATTGCCTTTTCGGCTTTTGGGCGGCTGTCGTAGAAGGTGATCTCGATTCTGACCTCACCCGCATATTTGCCTCTACAATTCAAGCTATGCCACTGGTCACTCTGTCCACCTCCTCGTACAATTATATCGCGTAGGTCAATCCACGTTTCGCCTATTAACTCCGTCTTCCTATCATCGTTGAATACGGATAGCTTTAACTGATAGTAATCGGGCGAGTCGTGAACTGTAAATCGAAGCTCCTGGTCCCTACAACGAATCCAAGATGTTAGCCAGGACGTATAGTTTAGGCAGCTACTAGGTAGTATGTTAATACGCACCATTTGGGGGTCTGGCCGCCTCGAATATCTGTAGTTGTCTTCTTAGCTTCTTTCGCCAGTCGCGCGGCGCAGTAGGGATCTTGTTTCCCAATGGTCTTCCTGTTTGGAAGATTCTTTGCACGATCAACAATAAGTACAAGGGTTCCAATCTCAGGACCATCGACGCTCATGTCGGAGAAGATGCCGGCTGTATGCATGCCGTTTAACGGGTTAGGCATTTTCGGTTTGGTAGCCATCTTTCAATAGGTTGAAGTTATTAAGCAACTCTCATTGGAAGGTTGAAGTCGAATAAAAATCCCGATCCCGATCCAATTGACACAATCAATAGTACCGAACGATATATTTAAAGGTTGCGAGTTACGATTGTCTCGGTTGCTCGGCGGGTGCCTTTGTTGATTCTTCCGAGCAGACCTCGTATACGTTCAACTGGTAATAACAGGATAACAGGACGAAAGCGAGAGTCGGTGTTGAACGACCGGACGAAGAGTAAAAAAAATTAATTTTAAGACCAATGAACGAGAGAACCAAATAAGCATTCAATACTATGAAGTAGAGACCCAATTAGACAATGACAACGGAAGCAGGAGAATGCAGAAGAGGATAATGACTTGCAGGTTTGCAGCCGGGCTAGAAGATACCCATACCTTGTCGAGGTGGGCAGCGGCCTGCAATTGGAGTGGCTGGTGACGAAAACAATGAGGTTGGGGCTTTTGGTTGGTCGAAACAGGTCTGACCCGTTCCTGCTGTAGCAGTTCTAGCAGTTTTCGTGCTGCCGGGGAACTCCACAGCTGAGAAAAAACCCCGCCTCCCTAAAAAAAAATACCCCTGTACCCCTGTGCTAAGACTTTACCATGTAAAGACTTCAGGGCGTACAAGATGACAGGGGCTTTGTTTAGTGGGACCGGAGCCAATAGAGACGCTAGATTAAGGTAACGTGTGTCAGGGGGGGTATTTCCTTGATTCGATTGCCTTATCTCTTATTCGTTGACTCTTTCTTGTTATTCGAGTTATTGAAGAAAATAAAGGATGTCTTATGGCTTTTATTTAAAAAAGACTTCTTGGAAGGAATGTTTCACAGAGTACGACATTGGGGTTTTCTCCGTTTTTAGGAAATATTGATGCCTGCTCTGCACAGCCCAGACGCGCAATCCACGAGGCTCTTCACTGTGCCGAGACGCCTAAATGACTAAATGACGCGACCACAATTATTTTCCGACGGCTCAGATTCAATCCCGCATCGACAGTCAAGAATCATACATATGAGCTGATCTTAATGATCGTTTCGTGCACGCCTTATATAGGTACCTACGATAAACCTAGCCATAACCCCCAAAATCTATTTCACCGAGTTACATATATGGCGAGAGAATTATACATGCCGACTATCCAGGTTAACTAATTGAAGTGCTTCATTAATACTTAGGTATGTACACTTGAAGCATATGTAAACATTTTTTTACATATTGCTACGCTCTTATTAATGTCCCAACCCAGCCAAGTGGTACACTATCTTCCGAACTACTCTCGGGACTACGTCAGAATGCCTGAATGCGTAACGGTCAAATAGTACATGCTGTATATGTGTGGAATGCTATAGGCTGTGTTAAGCCAATCAGACTCAAGCAGTAGCATTAATGAAAGGTTGTCTGCAATTTGAACCTTCAGAAGATATACACCACATGTAGACTTCGTAGTTGAGATTTTAATGCACGAGTCAATGTATTCGAATATCATGATGCATAATCCTGCATATATTTATCGCGATAATATATGTAAGCACAGTTCAAAGTTACACCAACCTTTCAATTCGAGTTGCTAAAACTAATAGTTACACACTTATAGATTCCTCGTCTGTACGAATAACCACATTGCGCCTCTTATGCCCCTTGCATATCATTGAGGCGTTCCTTTGCGCTTTGCTTAGCATCTTCGGAAACCTTTGGATTATTGATTGCTCTATGTACAACGATAGTTAGTAATTGGCTCATCATCTTGGACAAATCCACTTACGCCTTTAAACCACCGGCGACATTCCCAGGGTTCTTGTCACCGTCATCACCGCCATTCCCAGACTTCGGCACTATAGAAATGATCAGAAAGTGGTCCAAACTGGGATGCATATCGGACTAGAAACATACCGTCCCCACCATTAAACTCATTGTCGAGAACTTGCTTGGAATGTTCCTTAGAATCCTGGCTGGTGTTAGGATTGTTCAAGTTGGCCTTGTGACCGCCGGCAATTTGCGCTTCAGTAGGCATAATGGATAATTGTAGGTAGGCAACGCGTTATATGCTGATATGCTGATACAGTTAATGCTGAATGTTGGGTTAAGTATGTTGATGCTCTGTTAATGAGAAACCGAATGGAACGGAATCCAGCTCCTCTTTATACACGTTTCTTCAACTCTTACTTAGACTTACTTCCTATATCCTTTATGGCATATTAAGCCGCTGACGCTTATACTCTAGTTAATTACTACTTCTATACAGCATAGACGGTTGAGTCATGACGACAATGACAACGAGTAGTTCAGAGTCGTATAATCACCAGTCAAGCCACTTTGGGTTACTTAGGCCTATGTCGGAAAGATTATCCTGATCCGCACTTACACATAATCGATCAGAAGATTTACAGAGCCGAATCTAGGGTCTAGCATATGTACATAACAGCATAAATCGAAAGCCCCAGGATTTGTGACATCGATCAAAAATATCAAGTATTGGACAGTATTATTGAAATCAATCACGACATAAGATTTATCTGCCCCAAGAGGTGATCGTCGGGGACTGCGGATGGTCTGCTCCGTCGCAGGTTCAAAGACTAAACGATTGGACTATGAACTGTCGCGAGCAAGCCTTACTATGTATATACACTACCGTTAAATGCCAGGTTAGATCCACATGAACCTCCACAGTGCGGCTTAAATCACGATTCAGCCTCAAACGTTGGTAACGACAACGCTGTTCGTTGCCTTCCAATTATATCAACTGCATACTGCCTAATACCATACGGACGGCACCGAGCGCACTATGAGACGCTACATCGATGCTAAGTCATAGGAGGAAAGAGTAATTATCGACGACACCAGGTTATCATATTTAGATGGAACTGCCTCTAGACTCGCACATTTTCAAGGGTTATGTAGGGGATATCCCCTGCATAATATGAAGAATATAATTGCTCGAAAAAGCACCTAGTTAATTAAGCATCGACAATATTTCAGCGGTGTCGACATACACCAGATTTTGTGAAGCCTTGAAGGATCTAGACAACTACAAATCCCCACTGTCTGTCTAAACACGATGCTGAACGACCCCTGAGAAGATGTGGACTGCAAACCATTAAGACAGGTAGATATGCAATGAATCGTGAACGCAATCGATTAATACCCAATCATTGTCACGGCTGGCTCCATGTCGTTGAACCGTGTCCCCTTTTGCGAAAGTGCACTCGTCAACCGCGATTTACGATTGGATCAAGATAGGGGTTCCGAGGTACTATGCAGGATATGCTATCGAGTGGACAAAAAACAAATCAACTGGGGCAACCTGATACCAACCCCGAGAGTAGTGTAGGTATGAACTACATACATACAGACCGGCTATGCTGCCGGCTGCCGTAACGACCCAGTTGTCGAGACGGCGGTCTAGACCAGCATGCATATACTGATTCGTAAAACATTACTGAATGGTCAACGTCGACAGGGAATCAACAATTTAAAAGGAGCCTCATCACTGTGATCCATAGATCTTAAGATAGGGTGTTGGAATTATTCGTCTTAGTACTATCCTTTAACATATAGGGTTTATCCATTTTGTAGATGTTAATTGACGGTGTATGGTAGAACGGTAACACGAATATGTTTGTAAGACTCTTATTAGTTAAACTTAGCCTAAGTTCTAGGCTAGGAGTTACGGTGTGGCTTGACAGACTGACAGGCTGACAGGAGAGTGGAATTGCTTAAATGTGGGGGATGTCCCGCTTTTAGCTTTGGAGAATCGCCTACGGCAATGCACCTACCAGGTACCTAACTTCTACATAGCATCCATTCGTACCTTACCTACACTACTACGACTACTTGACTTTTACTAAAACAAGTAATTAATTCGCCATTCTCGGTATTCCATACCGATATCCCAAGATGTCATCTTCCCAACCTTTATCTCAACCACCGACTATTAACTACGTGGCCGGCTTCCTACTCGTCGGGCTTGCTTGGGGATTTACGACGCCCTTCATTCGCCGTGCAGCCAAAGATCATAATCCACCGGCTCATCCGACACTAGCAAGGGACGATGTAAAAGCAAGCTGGGTCAAGAATAAACTTTACGGGGCTTTTTTTGCTGTCCTTGACCTACTGAAGAACCCGAGATATGCTGTCCCACTACTGATCAACTTGACCGGGAGTGTTTGGTTCTTCCTCCTCATCGGCCAAGCAGGTAGGTCGACTAGTTCCATCTTAACACTTCCAACGCTTTGATATACTAACATCTCGCCTCAGAGTTGAGCTTGACGGTCCCAATTGTAAACACATTAGCCTTCTTGTTCACAGTACTTGGCGATTGGTGGGTTGACAGGAAGGTTATAAGTAGAGGTAGGTCATTATTATCATAACATCGACGTACCCGTTCACTGATTAACTATTAGATACGTGGATCGGAATGATCTTATCTTTATGTGGCATTGCGTTATGCGTCCGGAGTAAAACTAGCTGATAGTTTTTGCTCACATTAAGATGATTAGACACTGTTGATAGTTCTCTAAAACGATGACATTGGAGCATTAGGAAAGTTTTCGGGTTCTAGTAAGAATCGGACTTGAAATAACGAGATGGACGTAGGTCCAAATGCAGATTCTTAATGCCGCTCATCGTGGGGGAACAAACTGTACGTCTACAGACATTGGTATGGGTACAGGCGTCACTATCATACGGACGAACTCATGATGACTCTCAACTAAATGGCACGAATAAACGCCGGTTTTCTCCTACAATGAGTAAACTCGCGCTCATACATGTTTCATGCAAGCCTTCGATGGGCATGCCGTGCTACGGGAAGAGAGCATCGCACGTTATCAGTATTCATTCTGGTGAAACGATCACTAGTCGAAAGATCGCAGTGATTTTCGGCATGGCGTCTCATGTAGAGCGTGCTCACGGACAAGGTATATAAGATCCTACATCGCTTTTTGCTATGATAAGTCCAAAGGCGAAGAGAGTGGCTCGAAGGAAACACCGTAACTGCAATTGAGAAATTTAAAGTTAACGTATAACTACCAGAGGCTCATAAGTACAGTAGGTCAAATCAGATCGGGTAAAAAATCTCCCCGTACAAGTCGGATATGTTTTTGTTAACATTTTTTAGTATCTTAAATATCCAATATAAACTCAAGGCTACTTGAGCGCAATATCAGACCAACGGCCCTTCAAGTTAAGTGCATGTCAGGTCTTTATTATTCTAATCCGTTTCGCCATAATCAGGGCAAAGAGCCCCAAGGTTACCCTAGGAGCTTCACATGAGCTATAATCACTATAAAGACCTAAGTGACAAAGAAAATTCTTTAATAAAGTAAAGACAACCGTGTAACCAGCCGCTTTTACTCGAGCCAACCCCCGTAGTGCCCACATTCTCAAGTCTTCAATTCAAATCGATGGTAAACTATAGGAATAAGATGCGAAAATAGGGTTATCCATACGATATCCTAGAGCCTACGAATGTGATTAAGACAGTAAAGATAAGTAGTTAGTATAAACTACGTATGGAAGTTTAGCTAGCTTTCTTGAACGAGGTTTGAGTCACCGCACTAAATCATATCATTGACCACGTCAGGCACAAGGCCATGGTGCAAGTAGAGTGAATATCTTGGAAGCAGTGAAACTGTGACGGCAAGCTTAGCTGGCGCTTGCATTTCATGATGGCAGGGTAACATCAAACAGGGATTAACACATCAGCGCAGGGCAGCCTTTAACAATATAAGCAACTGCGTAGGTTAAGTGTTTGCGCACCCAGTTTGCCTATCTTGCTGTTGTAGTTGTTGTAGTTGTAGTTGTTGTAGTTGTAGTAAACATCATCAAATCATAGTAAGAATAGGATGCATGTTTCCTCTAGGAAGATCAATGTTGAACCATATCAGATCGTGCATATGAATATCGAGCCACGAGACATATTGAGGCCACTACATATGCACGTATGTAATAATAGGAACATTAATGCTCGATGGCTGCATGAATCCAAGAGCAATAAACGGAATTAGCCTGCGCTGTCCCGAGGCTGAACAATTTAGGAAATGTACACGGCAGAAGTATTTAATTTGTAACGCCGGGGCCAGCGGTAGTTAACTCTAGCAAAAATAGTACCCTTGTGCGACTTACCCCTTTCGTACTTGAAAAGTACCCCCTATCTCTTGAAGGAGTTCAAGTCTTCCCCTTTTATCTCGCCTTTTCGGGGTCAATCCTACCACATGAACACCTACGAACAGATCGGCAGCATGGGATAATAATAACTTAGCGCGATCGCGCTTGGCTTCTTGTCCTTCTCCAATGACGCACGTTAAAATCTCTTTGATCGACTAGAAACCACAGGGATGTTGATAGACATTCTCCATATTACTTGCAACCTTGCACGAGTTAGCCAGGTCCATAATGGTTCAATAATGGTTCATAATGGTCCTTGTAAAGAAACAATCCCATAGGGGAACTAAGAATGTCTTATCACGTTTCGACAAAGCCTGGTTGTCACGTTAGTTTTAGTCAATTTGGTACATTTGTTATTTAAGACCTCAGGGACCTCTTCTTAGATATTCAATTTAGAAGGTACCTTTCCCACGTTAAGAAGGCTGCGTAAAATCAACTTCTTTCCATCTACGTCAACTCGACTTGATTAATACCACAATTACCTCACATACTCAACTTAACCTAGTCTATTTACCTAATAGTCGTCAAGATGCGCATTTCTTCCCTCTTAACTACGGTAGCCGGCGCTACTTCTGCGTCCGCCGCGGTGATGCGAATTGATGCCACCGCCGCACCCTGGAAATGGACTGTAACAGGATGGAGTGCTGGTTGCGCGAGAGAATGTCATTATGGTAAGGCCTCTGTTGCTTTCGACAGCCCTATTTTCCTTACTTACTCATTTGTTTAGACTTCAACGTGACCGGCACCGGAAGTTCTTTGTCGAGGCCGCCTAGACCTTCGTTTAAGGCGTACTGTAGCGGAGAAGGCGAGGGTGCCAACTATAGGGCCTGTACAGCGCTCGAGGAAACCGAAACCGACTATCTTGTCCTTGCGAAACTCCTTCCGAACAACGGCACTGCCAACGGAACATCGCACAAGCCTCAGATCCAAGTGAGCGTAAAGTTCACCGACCTAGATGTTGCGTCGACGTGGTGGAACTACACTGGGAAGGCCGTGGCGTCGTACAACCAATTCGTAGCGCCGCTTATGAACTTCACCATCACTCCCGATACCATTTACGGTGTAGCGTAACAGCGGGGAGTTTTAGGGTAGCGCACGGTGATGTATCAGGTGCGACATCTTGGCGTACTCGATGTCGGGTTATCGACGTGGCCCGGGAAGCAAACATTTGTGTTGCAAACGTGGACGGTTCATTGGCGACAACGGCGTACAACCTACTGACCGAGATGATCTCGATGGTCGGTCGCGAATCACCCTCGCATAGTAGTCCGGACTATTCAGTTTCCTATGCTAAAATGAGTCAAGAAGCACGCCCTTAATAAACCTCAACTACCCAACCTGAACGTCGAATCAAACCCACATATGCCCTGCTGAAAGGATCATCTTGAACGACGATCACAAGATGAGATTGAGGAGGGACCATCAGTTGGTGGATCTACACCTGGCCCTCCCGGCTTGTATGTCTCGCGAGAGTGAGGTCGTACGCCTAGACTATAGTCGTTCTTGTACATAGACAGGACAGATGTTGATTGCAGATGTCAAGATGACTTGATTGACAGGCAGACATATCAACTTATAATGTTAATCATTGACCTAGTTAATAATTATAAAACCTTACATTCTTCAAATAACCAGTTTCATGTAGAGGAATTTGTGAGATCATCTGTCTTGGCAATCGTCGTATAGTGTATAGGTATGTATGTACCGAGTCCTAGATTAGACCTCAGTTAGGCAGCCTGATAAAAATTCACGATGCCTTAAAAATTGAATGCTGCCTTAAAATGTGACCCGTGGACAACGCCTTTACGTAATCTTACCTAACTTACGTTGAATGTTACGCAAGTGACTGTGGCGGTGGCTTTGCCAAGGATGCCAAGGCTAAGGCACATGAAATTACATCAGTGTGTACCAGTCGGCGCTTCTCCCCCTCCCCCACCGAACTTCCATCTACACGCAGCTTTAGCCCGCGCTTCCAAGCTTTCCACTCAACTCCCATCCTGACAATCTACATCTAGAGGTAGCCTAACTTCGGAAACATAACATAATTTGAGCCTCTGGGAGGTCCTCGGTTATCATCTATAGCTGCCTACCTAGCCAGCCCTCGAGCTAAGAGCTCCTAACCAACTTATTCGAAACTACGCATTCATATATTAGAACCCCCTTAAAGTCAACGCTTCACGATCGTGTTCTGTCGATAGATCTTCCAGTCCAATCAACAACAACTTTCGCTAACCTTTGAAGATAAACTCTATTAGTCATGAACGTTCTTAAGCTTCAGAGGTAAACCATCGCACACAATAGTTCCTACTTTAGAGCTTGCGAAACTGACGGCGGTTAGGAAATTTCCTCAATTTGAACAAGGCGACATATTCGGCCTTACCGATGCCTTTCGCAGGCTAGACGTCGACGATAAGGGCTACATCGACGAGGCTACCGCCATCAAGGCTACCCAGCAAAGCGAGCGACAACCTTACGATGTCGTCAGACAGGCTTTAAGAGAAGTTGAGCTCGACTCTTCCCGAAGAGTTGAACTTGAAGACTATGTCGGCGTAAGTCATACCAGGTTACACGGACGATGCTGAGCCTCCAGTTCTAATATACATCTAGTTAATCGCCAAACTACGCGAATCCTCCCCTGCGCAACGGCGTATGAATACTGGGGGTGCTGCGCCGGTTGCTCCTGCTGGAATTGTATCTCAAAGAACAGGTGGACAAGGGCATGCCTCCAAAGGAAGCATCGGCAAGATCCACGTTCAAGGCTCTAGTGCCAATGTCACTCATACCATCAACGAAGATGAACGGACCGAATTTACACGCCACATTAATGCTGTCTTAGCCGGCGACCCTGATATAGGGAGTCGATTGCCCTTCCCGACCGACACTTTTGAAATGTTCGACGAGTGCAAAGACGGCTTGGTGCTAGCCAAGCTTATCAACGACAGCGTTCCCGACACCATCGACGAGCGTGTACTAAATGTTCCCGGCAGGAAAGTCAAAAAGTTGAACACGTTCCACATGACAGAGAACAACAACATCGTCATAGAGTCTGCAAAAGGTATCGGCTGTTCAGTCGTCAATATTGGTAGCGGTGATATTATCGAAGTCCGAGAACATCTTATTCTAGGTCTAATCTGGCAGATCATTCGGAGAGGTCTCTTGGGCAAGATTGATATTAAACTCCACCCTGAGCTCTATAGACTGCTTGAAGAAGACGAGACGCTGGAGCAGTTTCTACGCTTACCTCCCGAGCAAATCCTCCTACGATGGTTCAACTATCATCTTAACGCAGCTGGCTGGCATCGCCGAGTTGGCAATTTCTCGAGCGACGTAAAGGATGGAGAGAACTATGCAGTTCTTCTGGCGCAAATTGGAAAGGACTACGGATGTAGCAGAGCTCCTCTTCAAACACGTGATCTATTACAACGAGCAGAGGAGGTACTGGTCGACGCCGACAAGCTGAGCTGCAGGAAGTTCTTGACACCGAGCTCTCTTGTAGCAGGAAACCCTAAGCTCAACCTAGCTTTTGTTGCTAATTTGTTCAATACTCATCCCGCCCTAGACCCGATTACCGAGGAAGAAAAACAGCAGGTGGATGACTTTGATGCTGAAGGTGAACGAGAAGCCAGAGTATTCACATTGTGGTTGAACAGTCTAGACGTACAACCAGCTGTGGTCTCCTTCTTCGATGACCTTTGCGACGGCACCGTTCTACTTCAGGCCTACGACAAGGTTATCAAGGGCTCGGTGAACTGGAGACACGTGAACAAGAGGGCGGCAAGCGGCGCCGAGTTGATGAGGTTCAAAGCCGTCGAGAACACTAATTACGCCGTTGAACTTGGCAAGCAGAACGGCTTCTCGCTAGTTGGTATTCAAGGAGCGGACATCACAGATGGAAATAAAATGCTCACGCTGGGCCTTGTCTGGCAGCTCATGCGAAAGGATATTACTCTTACACTTTCGGCTCTAGCGCAACGTCTTGGGAAACGGGAGATGACCGATGCAGAGATGGTAAGATGGGCGAATGACATGTCCCGAAAAGGCGGCCGGAATTCATCAGTTCGGTCGTTCAAAGACCCCGCTATTGGCAGTGGTATCTTCTTCTTAGACGTTCTGAACGGTATGAAGAGCAGTTATGTCGACTACGATCTTGTCACGCCTGGACGAACCGACGAAGAAGCATACTTGAATGCTAAGCTTAGCATTAGCATCGCCAGAAAGATGGGAGCAACTATCTGGTTAGTCCCTGAAGATATCTGCCAGGTCCGAAGCAGATTGGTTACTACTTTCATCGGTAAGACAGCCCAGTTTATAACCCTTTTGAGTGTGGTAGCAGCAACTAACTAATAATTGCAGGCTCGCTTATGGCGACTCACGAGAAGATGCAGTAGATTGAGGCTTTTTAATTCTCTCGCGAAAGAAGTGTGCAAAGGGCCTAGGTTACGTCGGATACAAAAAGTTGGGGGGTTTGATGACGATATGTGTTAGTTAGCATACTGGATGGCTTGTTAGTCTTGCCCAAATTCCGAATGCAGTTTTCATCCAACTATCTCGTATCAACCAGAAAAATGAATATATCGCATTATGAGTGATTTCTTTCGGGGTTGGTAAACTCGAGAGGAGCAGGGTGCATGCACATTCTTACGTTGGATTAATTTATAGTTTTTACCTTAGGTATGTTTCCAAGAGGTAGGGTCATGAAGTTAGCGTAGGACGTAGGTACTTACCTAAGGTACCGTAGGTATGTAGTGTAACATTGTAACAGTGCAACAACGCCCCGCCATTTTGCCCATAAGAACTCGTCGGTATGGGAAGATTACAATCTCACTACAGATTACAATCTCATCACGTCGAATGTTCACGTTCCTATTATCCGATGCCAACGACTCTTCAGCCTTATTGTCCCCTTTCCCCTAATTCCCCCTCTAAGACCGGAGGAATGAAGACAAAGACTCCATTTTTGTATCGGGTTTCCGCAATGATTGTTGACATCCGAGCCTTCTCCATTGTCTCGTGTGGAACCGCATCTTGTAGAAAAGATTATAAATATTATACCTCGGCGTATTAGAAGATCGTCTGGAAGAGTGAGATCGACGCCGAACGGCAGCGACCGTACCAATTTCAATGTCATCAGGCTCCAACCGGGTTCGACGGAATCTCTCGTTGCTCAAATCTTAGTGGACTCGCCCGGTTGTACCGGCCGTGCTTAAGTTAGGTGGCGATTCTCGATACGATTGATCCGAGTGTACGAGATAATGAGAATCTAACCTATCTCACCTTATAAATAAATCATCTCACTCCGAGCCTCAATTGACAATTGATACCTAATATAAAATCTGTCAATTCCTTTCAGCCTCCCCACCTATCAGCATAATCCTCTTATCGGCTGCGTTGGGTTCATAAGGCCTACGGTCGATTGATATTAGTCAATTCCATTCCGTCATTAAAGAAGGAGGCTAGATATTGTGGTTCAACCCCATTGTCTTCTTTCAAACATGTCCACTGAAGAGCTACATGCGGCTTCACAGAGCCGAGATCATCTTGCGACGGGTACAGATATCCATAGCGTACATTCGAGGCGCGAAACACAGCATCCAGTTGTTTTAGCCGAGGCATTGAAAGCTATACATCGCATCCCAGATACCCCATCAGATAGTAACAGCGATTCGGGCATTGAAGCTACGGACACACATCCACACTCAGTCTTATTACGACGCAAATCGGAATCCGATTCTTATGATAACTCAGCCTCGGAAACGCCTGAAATCCTGCACTTGGAGAGCCCGGGACTAAATGAGAAGTCGAGTTCTGAACAGCTTCTCCATGGCTTACCTAAATATACTTCTACAAGCAAGGGGAATAAGACGTACGTGGTGGCCAGTGATGATGCAGAACTTCGGGAGATATTAAGACGGGGTTTAGAAAGAGCAAGTCAACACATTTCCGGTATTTATCTGCCTTGCTTATGAACAGCACTAATATTAGGTACCTAGTTACAGGAGAAAGAAAAAGGATTGCCGGGACGACGCGAAAAGCTACGGGATATGGTCTTCACAAGGCAGTTCTCGGCCTTTGACAGGCAAAACCAGGATGCAGCAAACAGTCCGTTTCATGGCTTTTATGTCCTCTTCTGGATTTCAGTGTTTTTCTTGATAGTGAAGATGGCTGCTGATAACTGGAGGAAAACTGGAAACCCTCTCGGTGCCAATGAGATTATGAAAGCCATGTTTAAAAGAGATGGTGAGTTAACTTTGATCCTCGATATTTCGGAATATAAAACGATTAACTGCCAATGTAGTTGTCGTACTTTTATTCTCCGACGGCATCATGTGTGCTCTGACGGGACTGAGCTGGGTAATCCAACGCCTGGTATTTCTCGACTATATTGACTGGAATAGGTCTGGTTGGATATTGCAAAACGTAAGTTCTTGTCACGGCCTTTACAAGTGAACTTCTTCTAACCTATAGTACTATAGTTCTGGCAAACCCTGTTTATCGCAGGTGTGGTTGGCCTTACACTTGTGAGGGATTGGCCGTGGACACGTGAGTAAGCTTCCTACTCAAGACGAAGCGCATATACTAATTATTTTTATTATTAAAGATACCGTATTCTTTGTTCTTCATGGTCTTGTCATGTTGATGAAACAGCATTCATATGCGTTCTACAATGGTCACCTTTCGTCCCTCTACAAGAAGCGACAGGTTGGTGTTTATAATCTAATATTCGTCTAAGTGATCCAGCAAGCAGGACTAAATTGCTAACTCCTCAATTTAATTAGAGTCTACTCCTTAAATTGAAACAGCTGGAGAATATATCACCCGTAACATCGCCTTCGCAAACGAGACCAAGAGTCTCGGCCCTCTCTACATCGCATCTCGCTCATCCACCATCGGCGGATGAGTATCGTGAGAGGCAGTTTTCGTTATCAAAGACTGGATCTACGGACCAGAATAACATGGAGAGCATCTCCCGCGCTATTGAAGCGGCAGAACCACTCGATATAGAACAGCTTCATGTATTCGAAAGACTCATCAAGTGGGAAGTCGACGCTCTCGCAGATGAACTCAGGGGCAAAGCGGATGATTCTACACATTATTATCCAAATAACCTTACCTTCTTAAACCACTACGAATATATCGTACTACCCACCGTCGTTTATGAATTGCAGTATCCTAGGTCCGAGAGGATCAATTGGTATTACGTGGCTGAAAAAACTTGTGCTCTTTTCGGTGTCATATTCGTCATGATCATGATTTCTCAGGCGTTTATTTATCCTGTTGTAATGAGAGCGATCCATATGAAGGAAATGGGCTGGACAACTACGCAAAGATTCCGCGAATTTCCATGGATACTCAGCGACCTTGCCTTTCCCTTTATGATGGAGTATATGGTAAGTTTTGTGGCTATAGTTGATTTTATGTTTACCTTGTTGTGCTTCCGCTGACTCTTCACCCTTAGTTAGCTTGGTATCTCATCTGGGAGACGGTTCTTAACATCCTTGCGGAACTCACGTTTTTTGCGGACCGAAGCTTCTACGATACATGGTGGAACAGCGGTATGTTGCCATTTGTTCTTCACTCGGTTATAATTAGTATATGTCTACAATACTAACATCGAGGCAGTCTCATGGGATCAGTACGCTCGCGACTGGAACCGACCGGTCCACAACTTTCTCTTGCGGCACGTGTATCACAGCTCGATATCATCCATGCGTGTAAATAAACACACTGCGACGCTCATCACCTTCTTCCTCTCGGCTTGCGTTCACGAACTCGTCATGTGGTGTATCTTCAAGAAACTACGCGGGTATCTACTCATCCTCCAGATGTCCCAGCTCCCGCTTGTGCGGCTCAGCCGGACGAAGTGGCTTCGCGGCCAGCCAACAATTGGAAATATTATATTCTGGGTTGGTATTTTTACAGGACCGAGTTTGCTATGTAGTTTGTATCTAATTCTTTGAATGGATTGGTTGTTGGTTGGGTGCTTGGCGCTTTGGGGGATACAGATAGAGGAGAGAGGCAAACAAGCGAATGGGGAGGGCGAGCTGTTCTGAAGAGGAATTTTATAACTTTTGGAGTTTAGAGCGTTACATACCAAAGACAGCGTGTTGGATCGAGGTCACGATTACGGTAAAGTACCTAAGGTGATAAATAGCGTGTAAACATTGGTTATCTTGTAAATTATTAGAGTTCTATTGTAACTTATATTTCAATATTTGCCTTGTATTACTACCTAGTATTCAATGATTAACTAGTTAGTAGATCATTTACTAACTAGTTCCGAATTGCAAATGATATTCACGGTGGACCAACCGGAAGCTCTCCAACAGGTAGCTAAGATAGTCACTTGGGTTTAATGCTGGGAGGTATTGCAAGGCGAGCACTAAGTTTGACCTATAGGAGAGATGTTGAGAGACCCCAGCTTTCATGTCTGCATGCACACGACCTTTTGTGGCCTTCTACTTTATAGTCCCATGCAGCTCTTATGCAGCACACGACAAGTTTTGCAGCTTTGGGGGTAAGAATGCGCCACAGATCATTCCTGGCCAGATGGTAATCAATATGTTCACTGTGTTACAAGCCTGTTGGGAGAACAACGTGGTCAACGTGGACTACGTAAGAGTAGTCCAAATCTATGTATGATGAGCAACACCATGCAATGTAGATGCAGTGGTAGACGCGGTGGTGTTCCTCAATCTGGATGCTTGCTTTAAGCCGGCTTGGTGGTTTGGATATTCGTAGCCAATCGAACCTGCAAATGTTAAATATGTGTTTCGCAGCAAATAGGAACCAAAGCTAGGTAGTGTTAGAGATGGGATGCATGTGAATACCCATCTGGGACCCATCTGGGGGTAAGCGCGAGTTGGGTGGTGTTCTTTCAATGGGATACGAACTTCCATTAGGTACCTAAGGCAAGTGAGGTACATGTAGGTAGCTAGGTGAGGTAGGTACATGAATAAGAACGTTCACGGAAGTACTTACCGTACAATTCCATTGACAAGCAGCAAAACTACGTCATTGTATCACTACACATGAGATGTACAGTACGCATTTCTCCATTTGTCTACACTGTGGTCAAAGCATACCTAACAAGCTGTTCTTCCGAAGATGATCCGTCCCCTTTGAAAAACAAATTTTATTTGTCGGCCAACCACTGACAACCTCAACTACCTATCTAACGAACTCCATCCATCACTGGGTTGCTGGGGAGCTACTACAACACCCCCAACACGCGATATTTCTTCAAATCAAATTTCTGCCTTCCATCATCAAGTTTGATTTATCTACATATCTAATCCTTTCCAGAGCTTCTCTCAGCTTCCTCTCATTAATTATTTACTCCTCATCAAGCCGTTATAATGTCTCGAGGAGGTACTACTCTCTACGTGACTGGCTTTAGCCATGGCACGCGTGCTCGCGACCTCGCCTACGAATTCGAACGGTATGTCCATTATCCTCGTCGGTGAATCGATCGACCGTCCCACGGATGCGGTGTCCGATGTCACCTGCCTTCTCCTCGTCCTAACCCCGACCTCGCTTCGTCGTTCTCGGCTTCGTTCGAGTCCTCGATCCGTCTTCTTAACCTACGCTTCTGCCCTCCGTGTCCATCTCAGCCTCCCATCTCCTTCGATCGAGCGGTCGTATAGCATCTTGAGATGCATCGTTCCACGTCCCTTGACCATCGCGATGGGATTTCGAAGCTTCATGCAATCGATGCAAATCATTAATCATTTTTGGGAAAGTCTTCACTTTGTTGCGGGGATTGCTGACATCAAATCTATCTAGCTATGGTCGCCTTGTCCGTTGTGATATCCCAGCCCCTAGGTCTGCTAGTAGTAGATTGTAAGTTGAGCTCCTAATTGCTAATTGTTGTATGACCTAATCGGGATGACAGGTTCGCCTTTGTGGAGTATGAGGATCGTCGTGACGCTGATGATGCGTACCACGAGATGCATAACAAGCGTATCGGCCGTGACGATCTTCTAAAGATTGAGGTAAGCTATCCTTCCGACTACGGCCCAATTCCTTTAGACGCGGTCAGCTAACGAGTATATAGTGGGCTCGCACTCCCCCGTCCGCGTCTTGGCGTTTCGACAGTGGTCGTGACCGCGACAGCAGGCGTGATCGTGGAGGCCGATCTCCTCGTCGCGGCCGTTCGCCTTCCCCTCGCCGCAGTACACGCGACTATTCTCCCAGGAAGGACGACCGCCGTGACCGAGACCGTGATCGCGACTATGATCGTGAACGCCGTGAGACCCGCGACCGTTCTCGTTCCCCGGATCCTCGGTACAAATCCCCGTCTAGCTCACCTAAGGTCCCTGCCAAGTCGGAGCTTACACCCTTACCTAGTGACCGCGATCGTGATGACCGAGACGACCGCGAACGCCGTGATAACGGCACTAACGGCGATGATCGTAAAGGTGAGTTTCATGGCCGCATCTGTAGAGAAACTCCTAACTAACATCGAATCTAGCTGTCGACAGTCCTCCTCCTCAACACGACGACTTGGACGTTGCTGAGTGATAAGTATACCTGGCTATCTTACCTCTTCAGCAGTGGGTTGCATCTGCAACGTGTGAAATAAAATTCTCCTTTGTTGCACGGGTGTTTGGCTTTGCGTTTTTACACTGGCTTTCGCTCATATTCTAGTTCCGATTCAATCGACTGGCCCATGATCCTGTGTACAACTGGCGGAGAGGCTAAATTCCGAGATGATGCATTTGATACTACCGAGAAGATTTTAGGTTCCCTCGAGAGGAGCGATAATCATAAGGTCAAGGCAGTTAGGTAGCAAAGGATGCGCCTAGAAGGGCATGTTCCTAATCAATTAGTTTAGAGCAAAATCACTTTGATCCTGTGCATCACTAGTGAAAAATGAGCTTTGCTAGTTTTTTGCAGATTTGTGTTAATGGTAATTCATGTATGTTGGAAGGTCATCAGACTTCGTTCCAGCAGCTATACAGGTCAATTGACCGTGTTTGATGCGAAAAGGGTTAGATATGATTATACTAATAAGGATGATTACTTTTAAATCAATCTAACTACCTAATACTAATACATAGGTACGGAATAGCTGTGGTAGAGTTGAGTTTCATGGATCAGAAAGAAGCTTTCAATCTTTGTACCTGTGATAGGTATTTACCTAATGCACGCTATTTAAGGGGTTCATTAATTTGAACGTTGCTGCGTATTATAGGTAGATATTGGGGAACAACAGCCAACCAAACGATGGGTAGTTAGATGAAGATCCTATGGGTTTTTTTTTCATCGACATGGACTTGGCCACGGGCTGCATCTTGGTTATGCCGAGTCACGTCATATACGATACAGTGTAGTATCCCGCGTAGAAAATCCCCAAAGCTGGCATGGACTTGATTGTACATAGGTAGGTATTGGTTTCTCTTCGGCTTTATCTAGGCTTTGTGGGGAAGCCCTCGAGGTACAAACAAAGGAAGGCAACGGGAAGAAAGGGGGCTCGCTTTAGCATGTCTGTAATATACAGAACTAATGCACGGAGCGTCTAAGTTTAACGCCAGGGCCCTTTTTTAAAATTTCGATTTGTATTCTATACTATTCCTTTCTCAGGATTCCTCCTTTCTTTACCGCTCCTCTAATACATAGGTACCTACCAGTCTTGAAACTATTTTTTATGTAGCTCATTTTTACTAAATTATACCTACTATTTTTAAACGTGTACCTAGACTCGAATAACTAAATAAGAAATATCGAAATACTTATAGGTAGGTAGCGAATGACAACTTATAGGTCACTTGAAGCTTAGTAGTTAGTACCCGAGAGTCTCAGGTGAGCCCGGCGGGTGACCGGCTCCCCCCTAAAACTAATTTTCTCAAAGCTCCGACTGGCCGACTTCATTACTTTGAACCTATCGAACCTATTATAAGGTCCCATCTTACCTTGAAACTTATGCATCCACGTACTCTACCTAGGTAGTAGCTACGTTCTACCGTCCGTCCCTCATAGCTAAATTTTCTAGCTCTATTCTTATTTTTCGCTTCTCCTCTCTCTTGGTCCTCTTTTACACCTCACCTTTCAAGTAACACGTTGCATACTCATATTTAACCCACTCCCCTTATAAAGTAATATCAACCTCGAGCATATATCTAGGAAGCAAACGATCATGAGTACTCCATGTACTTTGGTCAATTCGATGATCTGACCCGACGATACGTAGAGCGATATCCTTGCGCAAGGCAAAGGGTACTTCGAAATTCCGCGCAGTTACCACCTTTACCTATGCCCGCGATAGCCCGTCCTACAAGCTCGACTATGTCGCCCGAATCGTCAAGAGCTTTTCGATAAAACTTGCATTGTTGTTGGTGTAGTCGTGTTCAAAGACTATCTAGGTGTCTTTAGTTCTCGATATACATGTCCAAGCATCAGCCGCGCGCAAACTTCTCGGCCTCCTAGTTCAGCCCTGTGCGAACCCTACGCCGCCTGTCTCTCGTTATTACGTCGCTCGACTCCTTCCGCGTTCGCTTAGCCGAAGTTTCAACATGGCCGCTGTACGTCTATCTCACTTTCACACCGGCCCGCCTTTGCGCTGGGATCAGTCCCATCCGGTAGCTGACTTCAAATCCTTTAGAGCTCGGAAGATATCAAGGCCAATGATGCCAGTGAGAACAGAAACTCCCAATTTAAGGACTTCTTCTCCCAACCGGTGACCGCTGCTTTCTGCGCCGGTGGTGTTGCCGGTGCCGTATCGCGAACCGTCGTATCTCCTCTCGAGCGCCTGAAAATTCTCTTTCAGGTGCAAAGTGCCGGCCGCAATGAATACAAGCTATCGGTAGGCAAGGCGCTCGCTAAAATGTGGAAGGAAGAAGGCTGGAGGGGTTTTATGGCTGGTAACGGAACCAATTGCGTTCGCATCGTTCCTTATTCTGCAGTGCAGTTCGGCAGTTATAACCTTTACAAAAGGGTAAGTTTTTTTACCAGAGCTATTGGGCTTATTGCAACCTAGTCGAGGCTTCATTTATCGAAACCAATCATAGGCTAGGTAGTTTAGCTAACACTGTCTGTAGCACTTCTTCGAGAAGTACCCAAACGCTCCTTTATCTCCCCTCGAGAGGCTTGTGTGTGGTGGCATAGCGGGCATCACCTCGGTATTCTTTACATATCCGCTCGATATCGTACGGACTCGATTATCAATCCAATCGGCGTCGTTTGCCGCGCTCAGCAATGTGCCAAAAAACAAGCTCCCGGGTATGTGGACTACAATGGCTGTGATGTATAAGCAAGAGGGCGGTGTGCCTGCTTTGTACCGCGGTATAATACCTACAGTCGCAGGAGTAGCGCCATATGTAAGCTTTAATATGCGCCTTGCAGGTATGATATGTTTAATATGACACGAGAAGACTAATGATTTCTTAGGTAGGGCTGAATTTCATGACATATGAATTCGTCCGCAAGTATCTAACCCCTGAGGGTGACCAAAACCCTAGCGCAGTACGAAAGCTGCTGGCCGGCGCCGTATCGGGCGCCGTTGCCCAGACATGCACTTATCCATTGTGAGCATGTCTCCCAGCGTTCGAGTTCTGGTTGTCTAACATATGCATAGTGATGTCTTGCGGCGAAGATTTCAAATCAACACTATGTCTGGCATGGGCTACAAATACAAGTCGATAGGAGACGCTGTTAGGTTAATAATAGCCCAGGAAGGACCAAAGGGCCTATATAAGGGCCTCATTCCGAACTTACTCAAGGTCGCCCCCAGCATGGCCGCCAACTGGCTTAGCTTTGAAGTCACTCGAGACTTTTTGGTCGGCTTAAAGCCAGAACCAGTGGATCTATAACCGAGAGGGCGTATGGCAGTAGCCGGTTCCCTTCATCCGTACTGGATTAAATCCAGATTGTACTTGACTACCTCTAGATGTGCACCATTTATGCGTGCGGGATTTCTAGCGGGATGGCGTTGATGCAACACGGTAAAGAGCTGCAGCATGCAGGACAGTGGATCGGACGTGTTAAACAGGGAAAGGTAGATAAACAGATATAGAGAGCACAAAGACCCCGTTTAGTTGGTAGAGAAGGCTATGAACTCCGACAGGATAGACCCCGAGCAGCCTCATGTTGTATATGTATAACTACTAAAAAATAACTACCTGTATGAGGAGGGCGAGGCCATCCTTCCTTTGAAGATATAGTTTCAGGGTGATACTTGCATAGAATAAATAAAAATCTGAAATTAATTAGAAACTACATAGCCTTGTGTTGATATGATCTCACTGTCGTGGAATATAAAGAATACCTACTTAGGTACCTACCTCGAGTACCTAAGGAGTGTATGGACCTGGACTAACCTAACATAAGATTTGGATTTCTTATCAGAAACCTTCATAAAATACATATTATATGATAACACTGTTTAAGTACATAATGCCGGCTACTACCTAGCTACCTAAGGTACGTACCTCTTTAGTTCGTATCTCTCCTTCCAACCCTAACTGCCGCTCGTTACCGCCCACCCACACAATCCACTCCATCTTTGCGATTTCGAACTTTTCTGAGGCCCACCTGAAATTATTTCCCTTCTTCAGTCACTACTAACCCACAGCACAACAGCCTTTCTCTTTCCCATCGACTCTCTTTTCAATTACAAAAGAGTCACCGTCAAGATGGGTACGTTGAATATTTATTTGGAGATCTCTATGCGAGTGGAAGTGTGAGAGATTGGCTACTGCATTGTGCCCTTCTCTCATACTTTCTGCGAACAAACGGGAAATCATCCTCTGGGATGCACCCGATAGAGCATATTTGAACCCAAAAGCTGACGATGGCTTTTTTTCTCTAAATAGGTATTGATCTCGACCGCCACCACGTGCGCAGCACCCACCGAAAGGCGCCCAAGAGCGACAATGTCTACCTTAAGCTCTTGGTGAAGCTGTACCGCTTCTTAGCCCGTAAGTTATCTCTCCTAATTACTGGCAGCTTTTGCAACGAGTTATCAATGCATCCTAATTTTTGCAATTACGAGACTAACATTATTCTTTCACATAGGCCGAACGGACTCGGAGTTCAACAAGGTCGTCCTTCGCCGCCTTTTCATGTCCCGCATCAACCGACCCCCCGTCTCCCTTTCTCGTGTCAAGAGCCAGATCCCTAAGGAGGATGAGGGCAAGATCGTTGTTGTTGTTGGCACCGTCACCGACGACAACCGCCTTCTCACGGTCCCCAAGGTTTCCATCGCCGCTCTGCGATTTACCGCTACCGCCCGTGCTCGCATTCTTGCCGCCGGTGGTGAGGCATTGACCCTCGACCAGCTGGCCCTCCGCGCCCCTACCGGCAGCAACACCCTACTGCTCCGCGGCCCCAAGAACGCCCGTGAGGCTGTTAAGCACTTCGGCTTCGGCCCCCACAAGCACAAGGTATGTGGACTAGATTTAATCACAACCATTTCTAGCATGCTCACAAATTTTACAGAAGCCATACCTCGAGTCCAAGGGCCGCAAATTCGAGAAGGCCCGTGGTCGCAGACGGTCAAGGGGTTTCAAAGTCTAAGGAAAAAACGGTGTGGGTTATGTCTTGTGTTGCGTCTCTTCCGATATACCATGAATACAGTTATCAACTGGAAGAGGGTTACGCTACTTCAGGTGTGGTTTATGCATGGCTCGGCGTGATACGGGATTACAAAATCAATTCATACAGAATTGAGATGCTTTGCCACTTTTCTGACCAGGACCGTACGCCTTTTCCAGCCAATTATTGTGACTGACGAATGCATGATATTTTATTGCAACTAAAATATACCTACTGCAGGCAATGCTATAAAGTGTCGAGTAGTCGCGTAGATTCCGAGGCGTTATATTCTCATTATGTTCACAGAATGCTTAAAGAACAAGCAAGGGGGAATTGTGAAAGACAGGTATCACCTGACCGCGTGTTCGAGACGTAATGCTAACAGTTCGATATCTTCATACTGTGTGTTTCGTCATAGCCACTTTCAACCTACTTCAACCAACTTTAACCTACTTCTTACACTACACTACACTACACTACACTACACTACACTACACTACACTACACTACACTACACTACACTACACTACACTACACTACACTACACTACACACATTGAAAGCTGATACTAGTCCAACGCTTCATCGTCTTTATTTCTCTTAATTAAAGTGTCAGCTAATATTAGTTCTTGCAATCTTCCTTTTGAAGCGTTTTAAGAGTATAAAATGTGTGGTCGTTATTCGCTGGCATTGGTATGGCAACATACTCTTCACTTTACACTTGTCTTGACCCTAGAGACTGACTGCAACCAATAACGTAGAGGCCAGCACAGATTCGCGAGCTATTTCAACATGATGGTATGCCTGTGGATGATGCGCCAGATGATGAAGGTGAAGCAACGCCAAGGCAAAGTTACAATTTTGCCCCCGGCTACCATGGCGTCGTTTACCGCGCCGATGTACCAGATTGGGGTGCCGGTCCTCGAAGGCAGCACGCCGATGCCTCTAATGAGGCCGTAAAAGAGCAGCCCGCCGATAGTGATGATAGTGATATTGCATCAAACCCCAAGGCTATTAGCTATAAGCTACAAAGCATGAAATGGGTATTGATCCCTTTCTGGACCAAGCGTAATCCGGATTATGGTTCCATGATGAAGACAATCAACTGTCGAGATGATTCTCTCGCCCAGAGCGGTGGTATGTGGAGCACAATGAAATCTCGAAAGCGATGTATCGTTGTTGCGGGAGGCTTCTACGAATGGCTGAAGAAGGATGGGAGTAAAGACAAGATCCCGCATTTTGTTAAGCGGAAGGACGGTAAATTGATGTGCTTCGCTGGATTATGGGATGTGGTGCAATACGAAAGTGAGTGTCCAAGCTCGGATTGGAAGAACAAATGGTGCTAACTGGTATTTAGATAGCGAGCAGAAGCTTTACACCTATACAATCATCACTACAGATTCAAACAAGCAACTCAACTTCCTTCATAATCGCATGCCAGTTATTCTAAATAATGGGTCTGAAGATATCCGAACGTGGTTAGACCCTAAGCGGTACGAGTGGTCGAAAGAGCTGCAGGCTCTGTTGAAGCCTTTTGAGGGAGAGTTGGAAGTCTATCCAGTTAGCAAGGATGTGGGCAAAGTTGGTAACAACTCGCCTAACTTTGTCATCCCTATCGACAGCAAGGAGAATAAGTCTAATATTGCGAATTTCTTCGTCAAGGGTACCGCGAAGAAGAATGCTACGAAAGAGCAGCCGAAGGTTAAAGTTAAGAAGGAAGAGGGGTTCGTCACCGAAGACTCAACTAAAATAATACAAGAAAATCAGCCTACAACTGGCTTCAAGAGGGAAGCTGAAGATGAATCAGGTAGCGGGGAGCCTCCGAAGAAAGCGGCTATGACCATGTCTTCCCTGGCGCCGAATAAGACACCGTCGCCGCAAAAGGGGGTGAAACAAAAGATTAGCGCCACCAGCAATGGAACCAAGAGCCCAATTAAGGCGAAACAACCTGGTACGCAAAAGATAACGAATTTCTTTGCGAATTTCTCTTGATGAGGCAGCTTAAGATATATCCAAGACTGGCTAGTGGTGGTCTATGTATTAGCGTCACACACCAGCTTTGCTCTCAGATATCATGGCGCATAGGCCACCATGAACTTGGATTGGGATATACGTCTCAACGCATCAAACATGCCCTACCTGGCGATACGCCAGTCGCCAGTGCCTTGGTATGTATTTATATGAGCAATAATTTAAATTTAAATTACTAGATAAGCGGCACACCAACCGGACGATGTACAATAATGACAGAAAGAGCGTGCCTCGCTACGGCCTACCCCAAGAGATACATCGTGCGAAACGATATCCATACTTCCCACTTCATCTGTGTGGAATTTACTACGACAGCACCGCAGCTTCAAAGAGGGGCACATCCGAAGCTATTTAGCATGTGAATACGGAGGGGCCGGGTACGATGTATGAGTGGAAGTTGTTGTAGATATTGGCAGTGTCTACATGCGAAATAATGTCAGTCACCACGACATATAGTATTGAAGTACAGGGGTAACTTACATCCGGGGTCGGTAGCCTTGAAAGCACCGGGGATCTTGACGGTGGGCCTGGGTGAGCCGCTTCCGCCACCGCTGACCTTGATCTGGCCGCAACCGACATACCATTGCGGGGTAGAGCCGGGGTTGTGGATGGCGAGGGACTGGATTCGCAGGAGATACTCTCCGCTAGGGATACACTTAGGAATCGTGTAAGAGTAAGTGTCTGTTCTAAGGTTAGCCGAGTTATCCTGAGGAACGAGTTAAACCCGTTCGTACCCTTCATGGTCCAGCTTGCCTGGCCGCCGTTGAAGATAGGTGCCCAATCGTTAATCTTGAACCAGTCTCCGCTGCCATCGTAATCCGCAACAGCACCCGGAGCCTTCGATAAGTACAGGGAGATGGGTCCCTGGTGGTAGACGGCCGTGTCAAGAGTGAAGGTGAACGGGTCACCGGCGTTCAACGCAAGAGTGCTGGTGTTACCGCCAGTGGCACCGCCGACGTTGCATCGGAGGTCAGGAGAAGACAGGTCTATTGTTATATCTCAGCACAAAGTTACCAATGGCTTTGATGAGAATTACTAACCGGTAACGGGAGAGTTATAGTTGGTGTTTCGTCGAACGTACTCATACGCGACACCCTTGGCAGTTCCCTTCGCCAGCGTCTGGAAAATGTAGTGGGCCGACGCGCCCTGAGCAGCCAGGGCGGCGGTGGCGATAAGAGCGAAAACGTTCTTCATTGTGGTTTGGGAGAGCTGATCCGACTATCTTCTTTTCTTTTCTCGAGGCTGAAAGCGTCCGGCGGGTGCAGAGCAGAACAGAGCAGCTGGCGGAGCCTGCTGCGTAGGCGCCGTAGGCCGTCCTTAAAAACGAAAATCCATACGATCTCCCCCTTCGGCAGTTCACTCGCCCTCCGTCTAGGCCTAACCCCAGATTCTTCGATATGAAGCGGGCCGCGGCTCCAGTCGTCGGCACGGGATAATGGCTAAGCACCTCAGCGAGGCCTGGCCAGGGGCGATGGCCCGTCATCTGGGCTACGAACTAGGCATCATATGGGGTAGTCGTTAATAAGATAGATTAACTAAACGACCTAGCCCAGGAGCTTCCATGGTTGGTCACCGTGGCTTATTCCGGCGCCCAGCAATTTACGCTCTAAATAGGTTGTATACATGCACGATGTGATCACAGAAAGCAGTATGGTTCGGCACTGGGACCCCCGGAGAAGCGGATGCGAGATCTGTCTAGCAGGGATTGCAGTCGATGCTTGAAATTTGAATTAAGTCTTGTGATCTGAACTTACGGCTGTGGAGGAAGAGAAAGGGGAGTTCTTGATTTTGCCCCTATTTGCTCACGCTCTAAGTGGTGATTTACCTTATGAGTAACAAGTAAAGGAAGTTGAGAGTGGCATTGGGGATTTCATAGGTCAATATTAATCTACCTCTAAGGATAGGACATAGTCTAGTTCTATTTCTAGATAACCAGGAACTTTACCTGCATGATGATTCATTGCTGATTGTCCCGGCGTTTAGTGTTCTAAATACTAAGACTACACCCCTGGGAGGTTCTATCATAAGTCCAGATATCTTCAATCCACTCACTTTCAGCGACAAAAATGGTTGCCCATTTTCATGTTCTTGACGGGCTAAATGATAGATCACATACTTTGCTGACTCTGCTCTGTGAGCTATATAATACATACGTAGGTAGTCAGCTAGGAATTGTCGCAACGCTCGAGGTGTTTGACGAAAGCGTGGGTGGTATCAGTCATCATGACCCAAGGATCGTGATACTCCGTTCTCGTAATATCGAAGACATGGTAACTAATCTAAACACCGCAGAAGATATGGTGAGGTTTTAATGGCACGCATGTATATGAGGAAGTCAGCGTATACTTATATTCCTATGCAGGCCTTGGAAAATATATTGTTATACATGGCTTCCCATTGCCAAATACCACCAAGATTACACAGATAAGACTATCTACTTTCTAGGTACTTATATTGGAACGTTACACAAGAAGTGTCTTTGCCAATGGTGTTGAGGGTATTCCTAACGCCCCTTTCTAGAAAATTTCCCAGAATGGGAATTGATAGAGACGGGGGCTCAAACGCCGAGCCCATCTTGTCCAAAAGGAGGACCAGGAGTTCATGTAGCCTGATCGTTTATAAACATGCAGCAAGAATGAGCCAGGACCATGACAGCAAAGTCAACACATCTTAGGTGTAGTGTGGTCTCGTGACGGTAGCCTCAATCGGCCCTTACAACCGGAGGGAAACTCGTGCAGGTTAGTTAGTTTCGGCAAGGCTGGCCGAATTTGGGAGGTTTCGGGGCGGAAAAGCGATGGGACATGCTGGGTTCGATGCTTACGAGATCATGAGAAGGATTCTTTGGAATCAGAGGCGGAATATAGGCTGAGAAGGGGCAAGTAGTAAACAATAAAATCGCCGATGACAAACCGGGAAAGTATCTCGTCTACGTATATTTATCCAAATCAACATCCAATTAACCTTACACTTGGCTAGAGATGGGCCACTACATAACCGAACCCCTGTAGGATCATAGCGCTAAAGACAAAAAAGCCGTGAAGACATGAAGTTTGGAACATATCTGGTGTAGGTACGTATTACATAGTAGTACTGGAGGTAGGTAGGGGGTAGGGGGGGGGCACTTATAAGATGTCCGAGCTCGAAACTCGGGGGAGGCGGAGAAGGGAGCGGGGTTTAAGGTAAACACTGTGGGGGATGGGGATGACCTTAACGGGCTAAGCGGGCCTAATAATCCTCTAACGTCCTCTAACGTCCTCTGAAATCAATGGGGCTACGCTGGAATCACGGGCCTGAGCTGCAGAGCTGCAGAGCAGTTACCTCCAAATGTGGGGGAACCATCAGCCCTTTTTTCGCATCGAATTACTCCGTAGCGCCGCCAAGACGGGGGTCCAAACATCCAAACACCTAAAATCATCAACTAAAAATCTGCTCAAATTGGGGGAGGGAGGATGATAACGTTGTACCGTATGTAAAACTACCTAACCTAACCTAATAACCTTCCTTTTTTATTTTCTTTTTTATTTCATCTCCAACTTCACTGGTGCGCCACTCTATTGCTTTGACCCATTCCATGACAATTCCCCGTCACATTATTGGACCACGGCTGCATGTTCCAGATGGTCATCTGTTCCTGACAGAAGCTTATCCCGGTCTTGTTTAGCTGCCGTTGATCTTCTCTCTTCCCGGTACACATCCGACTTG